AAGTTGATTATCGAATATTTAGATTATGATAGCTATATTGCTGCATTTTCAGGTATGTACATAGTTACCAAAGCTATTTGTGGAATCATGCTGCAAGTATGAGGGTGCAAAAATATGGTAAGTTGGGAAATGTGACAACTGGGCTTTCTGCTGGTGCCCCCCCCCCCCCGCCCCACCCCAGCTTTTCAGCATAGTGCATATAATATTCTCCATACTCAACATTTTCATAAAGTTGAAATGCTTGGGGGAGGTTCAGATCTTGATATTTCTGTGATTTAATGTTTGGCAGGTATTGAACAAGTTGTATTAGGAGACTTGGTGTATCGCAAAGATAATGCTGCTGGAAATGGCACAGGGTTTGTCGGTCTTGACTGTTCTGATAGCTGTAATAGTGGAGGGAATTCCTCTAATGAAGATGAAGAAATGGATGTTCATGAAGAAAGCAATAGCCATGTCAAGGTAAGTGAGTTATTTTGTTGATTTTGGTCCTTTAGAAAGTATTGATATTGCACAATTTGCTTTAGAATAATCAATAATGTCCTTAGTTTTGGTGGGGCAAATGTATGCACAGATATGCAAGTGCATAATTTCAGACATGCTATATATTTTTGTTTATAATAACAGTAGCAGTCCAAAAAGTTTTAAACAAAGTGAGGCTTCTTAAATACTCTTCATATACCCATTTCTGCATTTCTGTGTGTGATACACACATCTGTGCATCAATCAATGTATCAGCCTCACAAACTGTCGCCATACATAGGCAAGTTTGCTTCTCATTCCTATTCATTAGAAACTATAACAAGTTCAATACTTTATGGGCAAACAAATTATTGCTACATTGTTGATGAATGAAGAATTATGCTGAGCCATGTTTGTCAAGGAGAGGGCTCCTTTTAAGCTAACGCCCACAATTATTGCTAATATATATATTGATAGAGAGCAAAAACAATTTTCTTTTACTTTACAATCTTACGATAAAGACTGAAATTAACTTTGTCATGCTATCAAAGCTCCTTTGTGCTTTGAAAAGAAAATTTTAGAAGCTATAAGACAAATAGTTGGATTTCAATGCAGTAACTTGATGGGTGCTTAAGGAACCCTACTCCAAATGCCCTATAAAACATTCAACAATGAGAGATTTGGGCATTCTATATTAGCCAAATCTTCATCAATTGGTTCCCCTTGGAGAGGCAACGCCTCAATAGCTTCACTCTGCAGAACTTTGCACAACTCCCTTACTGTTGAAGACCTTTTCTAGGTTAGAACCCTTTGTAGGTAGCCCTTTCCATAACCATCAACCACTTACTTTGATGCAATTCATGGGTATTTAAGTGAGATGGGAGTCTTCCCTGAAAGCTAACTGTTAAGGAGGAAGAACTAACCCTCTTAAATAACTCATACAGCATTCCATTTTACACAGTGTGGGGCTTAGGCACTCCATACTTACCACCCAAGTCCCCATCATGATTACAGATCTAAATTTTCTTGACTTTTTAGACCTAAATGGTTTATGAGCCCTGTACCTTGTAGTTGATGAGTAATTTGAGGAGCAAGCTTACTCAAAGAGTTGTTTTTATAGTGTCTCACAGGAGGTTGACAGTTGCATTGACATTTTATGGCAGGTTATGACTACTGAAGACCTTGAGGCAGGGTGCTATAGTATTGATGATGTCATCCTTCCGATGCCTGGGTAGGTTAGATCAAATGATCCATATAACTCAGATCCTCTCAATCAAATTTGAGTTTCTTGCTCTCTATTTTAAGTTGAGCCTGACATTTCTGTATTGATGATTCTGCAGTTCACGGGTAGTTTATCCAGCAAATGATATTGCCCAAGTTTATCATGATTTGGCAAAGAAGGTATTTACATCTTCCCTACTCGTGTACTGGATCCAAAGTATGATCAACTGGTATGACTGATTCATGTGTGGATCATTCTTTTTCTGGAAGCATCCTAGTCTTAAGTACTTCATGAATAGTTGTTATTATTATTTTTATATATATTAATAGCCTTTTTACTTATACTGGTCAGGATGCGATCAGTTTAACAGAGTCTGTCCATGATGTTAAGTAAGATACAGATTATCTCGACTGTAATTATCTTTTGTTCCATTGCCTCGTCTCACTTCTATTTATTTCTTCTTTGGGTTAGGGAATTCTCAATAACCAGCATGACTGGAAGTTACAGGAGGGTTTTTCAGAAACCAATAAATTTTGAATGGTACATAGTTTGACCCTCCTGTATCAAATATGCATTCTTTTCTTTGTAGCCGCTGTCTTTCCAGATTAGTTCACTTCTTGAATAGTGTCTATGAATGTCTGCTTCTGCAGGGAATCACTTACATATACTGATAGTAGCAAGCCATTGGCAGAGACAGACTTGGACAAGATGGGGAAGACCCAGCTTGTAGACAATGTCAAACCAGTGGACGATCCCAGTGGGGGAAAAGAAAATGTTGATTGCATTAGACAATCAGAAAGTTCTGATGCTGGTGCCAAGCTTGAGATTGCTAATGATGAGACGCCTTGTGATGAGGTAGAGTTATTGCAAGATGAATCCATATGCACCTCTAATTCGCAGGATTCCCAAATTGCTCTCAAATTAAGCTTTACTCTTCCTTCTTCTTGTTATGCGACTATGGCCATAAGAGAGCTGCTGAAGACTTCAACATCTGTGAGTACTCTATTTGAATGTGTCATATATATATATATATATATATATAATTTTCGGTCCTATGATGCAATCCCATTTATCCTTTTACATCTATTTATTCAATAACATAGATGTTCTCCAAAGATAATATTTATTTTAAAAGTAAAGGTGCATTTTTGTCTTTGAAATATTTTTTGAGGAACACCCAATACTTTAAAGTATTTGTTAGAGCATTTTCGTCCCTAAAATAAATAACAACAGGGTAGAGGATGCTCCAATTTAATTACTTTAGGGGCAAAAATGCTCCAATAAATATTTTAAGATACCTAGTGCTCTTAGGAAAATATTTGGGAGCAAAAATGCATCTTTACCCATTATTTTAATAAGAGGCTATTGCAAAGAAAGAGAGGCTACACTCTTTTACACGTTTAACTCTCTACACGTCTTTCAACAACAGATTCCTACACTCTTTAAGGGAGTTGAATTAGCAAACTTTGTAATGGCAACCAATTGTATTTCCCAATTTGCTACTTTGGTATGCGGTTAATTTTAATGTGAATCTTTTTCTGTTGCTTCAGGTTGCATATCACAAGACATTAAACCAGTAAGGTAAGGTTCAATGACGCGTCAAAAGGTGCAAGTGTAGCTTGTTGGAAGAAATTGAACAAGATGTCCCACGTGAGAACAAAATACTCGTCGGGGTCCGTATTCTCGCCATTTAAGTTATTCAAATGTCTGTACACACTTATAATTAGGCCTATGTTGCGCTGGTTAAGAAAAAGGAATGGGAAGAACAAAATACATCAATTACTTAACTACAGGAAAGCAGGGTTTGAACCTGCCGCGGGTGGAGAGATTCGTGAGATAGACAGAGTTATTTGGTCACCTTTATCTTTTTTTTTTCCTCCTTTTGGTTTGTGGGATAATAAACAAATGTCCCGAGACGGAATAAAAATTGTACTAATGACTGGAAGCTGGAAGTGATTTCAGAAATAAGTGTGAAGAGATAGGAATTAAAATAAAAATAAAAATAAAGGAATACTTTATAAATTCGTGAATACTTTGTAAATTGTGTCATTTTTATAAACTCAATATGTTAATCTTTGAAAATATTTTATTAATTCATTCAAAAAAAATATTTTATTCATGTTTAAAAGTTTAATATAAATGGAGCTGTCTGACCTATAAATTGAGCCCATGTAAGAAGAGCAGCTTAGTAGCTCATGAAACATCTCTTTCCACGAATTCATTGCAATCTGCTTCAAGCTTTGAAGTTTGTTGTGCCATTGACAATCATGCCCCGCAGCTTGTCCAGCAGAGTCCAGCTGTATTTTACTATTGCTGCTACTATTATTATTTGCGCCCTACATTCATCAAACCCTAGATTCAGCTACACAACGTAGTGTCTGTATGAATAAGATGATGGCGTGGTATGGGCAAGAGCAGCTTAGTGAGATCATGAACACGGCCTAAAATGTAAAATGGTTGCAGGCGGAGGAAATATTCTTATTGTTGGAGAGTTGAGTTGTAAGAAGTGCGGTCGGAAATAGCAGGGACTCCATCAAAAATGGGAATGGGTTTGAAAATATCTTAGTCGGGATATTCAGACGCAGAATATGCTTATCCCTTCTGTCCAAATCCAAGGCGAAGGGTGAGCGATGAGGCTGTATCATACCACCGTATTCCATTGTACCATCTGAAGATTCCCTTCCTTAAATAATTCGGCCCCATCCTCTGCACGTTTTCACGTGTCCCCGTGCATGCCCATCCCAAATGCCGTTATTTACACCATCGGCCTCTCTACTCTATCGGATTCATTCTACTGCCCCTTTTCACACTCCCATATTTCCTTCGCTCCTTTGTAGAGAATCGTCTTCTGCTCCCCCACGCGCGTCTACTTAAACCAACTCCTATTCACGCAACTAATTAATCAATCACCTGGAGAGGCCAGCTGTGATGTGCTGCCCTGAGCGGATGGGACAGCAAGCACCGTTAATTTTGGTACGGTTTTGTAAAAGATGAGTTTGGAGTTCGTTGGTGACCTTGATTGAAAACGAGGATATATTATATATTATATGGCTTGTTATGAAGGCTGAATTGAATCTACTTGTTCGTTTTTTTAATGCAACGTGGTTGGACGGAGGTTTTCACGACGAGCACGTTTGTGCTGGATAAAATATTTTCTCTAGGGGGAAGTGAATTCACTTTCTTCTAAAAGCGTGTGGTGGGCTATCCTTTCTGAGTTACAAGCAAGGACAAATTCCTTGATAAATGTGCGTGTCTGCCTGTGAGAGAGAGGGGGGAGCTGTGATTTGTAATGTGCTTTACAGTGAGAACAGGGGGCTGAAGGGGTAAGGGAGAGAGAAGTCACTCACAGTCACAGGGGGGGAGGGGGGGGGAGAGAGAGAGAGAGATGTTCGATGGAGCGCCAGAGCAGTTCCACCATCTCATAGCTCCCAGAAACTCATCACTTCCCTTCCCTCCTTTCGATGCGCATAACCCTTCTCCTCATCATCATCTCTTGTCCCCGTTGCACCACAAGGATGAAGAACGCGAGCAGGAAGAAGCTTGCACCAACTTGGAGATTCATGGAAGACAACCACAACCGGCCCAGCATGAGCTCCTCGATTCCCCCTGGACCGACGATGAAGTGCTTGCTCTTCTGAGGATCCGATCTAGCCTCGACGCTTGGTTCCCTGAACTCACCTGGCAACATGTTTCGAGGTACCACGCCTTATAACTGTCTTCTCTCTTACTTCCCTACTTTCAGTTCCCCATTAATTAATTAGCGCCACTGAACATCTGGGCTACCTCTCCATCCTCCGTCCACCTGATCATTGCACTGAAAAATTCGTTACTGGAAAAATCAATACCTTATGTTTACCTTCACGTGTAGACATGGGAACACGTGCAAGCACAGTTACACACACTCCGAGAGAAAAAGAGGCCCAAGTTTCAGGCGATATATCGAGTTGGGAAGGGGACGAAATTAATTGTTATATGAAAAAAAAAAAACGGGAACGAAATTAATTATAGTATTATTTTTTAATCATTCATCTCATATTGAAAAGTGCGTCGGTTGTTATTGCAGTAGATCTATAGTTTCTTGAGCAATATATTTTTTCTATTAGCTTTGAAGGAATCAGGTTAAAAAATTGATGATAATTAAATTTAGTTATCAGAATCATCACATAGAATCTGAACCAACATTGAATGGACAATGATTATCCTTCTTCCCCTTAACATAATAATAAGACTATGTGATATAAAAAATCTACACATCACCAATTAAAGTTGGTGAGTAGTAAGGACTTTTGTCACTTAAGTATGAAAAGATAATCTATGATATCAGTGGACTCCTTATGATATAAAAAAAAATTCACATATCTTAATTTAATTCAAAATAATCACCTTAAGTATGTAACACTAAATATATAATTTTTTCCTTCCCAATACTCAGAATTTGGAAAATAAAAAGATATTTTATATTTTATATTTATATAAGCATAATATTTTATAATCTAAAATAAATAAGTTAACAAATAAGCTTCTCAGGATTAGCTTTAAGTGTTATTTTTTTTGTCTGGATATTTGATTTTAAGTTTCAGGGGTGAATTTTTCATTTGTATAAAAATAAAGAATTATAAAATTACTTTTATATTTTTAATGAAAATTTTGAGGGCAACGTATGTAATTTAATTCTTTAATTTGTACAAGAATAACAAGCAATATTATAAAATGAATGAGCGGCTACATTTTTAACATATCATAAAATAAATTATTTATATTTTTGACACAAACAAGATGTTTCATCATGCATTAATATAAATAGCTATTTATGTTTTTTTATGATGGCAACAAAAAAATTCTTACATTTTTTATTGAAATTGATTTTATAATCTCATTTTACACATTCTAAATATTATTACATTAAATAAATTATTAAATTAATATTTACTTAACTTTATTTTCTTATTTAAGTTTTCCCGCGCATTGCACGTATTTAAAATAAGGAACAATTCTAGAGCAGATTTAATAAGTAATGCTGGGATGCAGGAAGCTTGTAGACCTTGGATTCAAAAGGAGCGCAGAGAAGTGCAAGGAGAAGTTTGAAGAAGAAACTAGCTACTTGAACAACATTCATTACACTAAGAACAACAGTTGTCACTTTATTAGTGAGCTCGAACAGCTTTACCAGCCACAGCAAGCGCATCAAATCCCCAGGGTCGAAGTTGAGGTTAGGTGTCACGAGAGCAAGCAGCCATCAGAAAAGTTGACTGATCAAGAACTACATAGCAAGACAGATCATACTGTAGAAGATGGCCCCAAAAACGATGCAACACTGACCCAAAAATGCGAGAAAAGAGCGAAAACATCAAAACTCGGGAAGCTAAAGAGGCACGATCAGTTTGAGATTTTAAAGGGTTTTTGTGAGAACGTCGTGAAGAAAATGATTGCAAAGCAAGAGCAGATGCACAATAGGCTACTGGAGGACATGATGAGAAGAGACCAGGAAATATTCGCAAGAGAGGAAGCTCGAAAGAAACAGGAGATGGATACGGTGAACAGGGAGCTCGAAATGATAGCGAAAGAGGGGGCTGTGGCAGGGCAAAGGCAGGCCGCCATTATTGATTTATTGAAGAAAATTTCAGACCACCAGAGCCATCCCATGAAAACGGTATCGGTGGATGATCCGAATCCAACTTCTGTGACTACTTCTTGCCCGTCAAACTCCAAAAACCCTAATCCGTTTTGTAATTACAGCGGCAAGAGCAATCCTGAGCCGCTGCCACGCGGGGTTCGAAACCGCGCAAGTGAAGGTGTAGAAGATCAGAACCCTGATAATTCGAGTGAAGTTCCTGATGCAATGATCAGGCAGTCAAATGGGTGGAGCAAGAGAAAAGCATGGGCACAAAATTGTGTGGTGAGAGAGAAGGAAGAGGTGGGAAGAAGATGGCCGATGGAGGAAGTGAGGATGCTAATAAAGCTGAGATGCAGTGCCAAGGAAGAGAGAGAAGGAGGGAGCAACAGGGTTCCGGTGTGGGAGAGAATATCGGAAGGAATAAGGGAGATGGGGTACGAGAGGAGCGCTAAGAGGTGCAAAGAGAAATAGGAGAACATAAGCAAGTACTTCAGAAAAACGAAGCATCTGAGCAAGAAGAGGTCACTGGATTCTACAACATGCCCTTACTTCCATCAACTCTCTTGCTTGTATTCTCAACAGCTCCCTCCTTAGCATTTTCTTCATTTCTCCTTTTTCCACTTCTCCCAGCAGCTTTTATGTAATCATATGATGCTCCTATGATCCTATCTCTCCTCCTTTCTACTGTTATTAATGCTCGAGTGTGTCTCAACACTTATATACATTTTCCTCTTGGCCTTGGGTGAGCACCTAAAATATATTTCTCCCCTTCTGTTGCATTAATTAATCTGTAATCATTTTTAGTGAACTAATAGCTGGCTCTATTTTTCTTTTAAAAAAATAATCTTATGATTTTGTAGCAATGTTTAATATATGTGCATTTTATCTTCAAGAGATTCAACTATATAATACAACCCAAATATAGAATCGCTCATGTTATGCTAATACCCAACCTTGTAGTATGATCCGCGGCTTATAGCTAACCTGCCACATTAAATTATCTATTTCTTCATTCCTTTTTTTCATCCAGAACTATATAAAGTTTATGTTGATTGGTTTATAAACATATTAGGTCAGCTTCGTGTATTACTCAAAATTTAAAGTATTAAATGTATGATAATATGAAATATAATAAAAAAAATTACAAGCATTTATATATGTGTGCATATATCCCACCGTGTGTGAATAGGCAGGAGACAGCGTGGAATGGATAGGGGTGAATGACGAAAGTATGAGAAAGGTTATTGACAGTATTGTTGTTTTAATCAATGTTATTTGGTGAAAGAAATTTGTCAATACATGAATCATATATGCAATTATTCAACGTCTAGCACAGGTCTTTGAGGAATTCAAAGGTCAGTAGTATTCACAGTATTGTTGTTTTAATCAATGGAAGAAAAAAAATGACGATATATATATATATATATATATATTGTGGACAAGTTTTGGGTAGAAGAAATAATTCCAATCAATGTTCTATAGACTTCCATCTTACTTTCTTCTCAAGAACGGCTCTATATATGCTAGTTCACTTCCGGGCACACAAGACACTTGCTTGCTTTTTAACGAGGTATCAAGAGTGTTGTATTTTGATCCTTTTTGTATGTTAATATTGCTCTTGGTTTCAAGAATAAACCTTGAAATGTGTGAGGGTGACAGGCTATAGTCAAATTGGCTGCTGACACAAATATTTTGTGCTAAGATAGCCAACATCTTGCCTACCAACGGGCGCTTATCTTAATGGTTAGAGACCTAGATAGCTTAATTTGAGGTCTTGAGTTTGAGTTTCAAATTATGTAGCAACATAGTTGAACATGTAAAACATGTGTTGCCAGTGGTACCCACAAAACCCCCTCAAAGAAGGTCCCACCTAAACAAGATTTTGGATCAATTTGGAATGGATTAGACAGGTAATGAATCTAATAAACCTAAATGCTTCAGGATATTGAGTGTGAAAGGAAAAAAATACAAAAAAGAAAAAAAAACATCTTGCCCTTTTGCATTTACTATTATCAATCGTCACTTTTTCCCCTACCGAAGGTATTCACACAAAGTAATTGTGAGATTAATTTTTCAAACAATTTAAATGACATTTAAAAAATCGTCCCCTTTCAAAAAATATTTTTTCATGCATAACTTTTTCAAGTAAGTGTGGCATAGACAGTTATCATTTGTGCCACACTCACTTGATGTCAATCATCACTTTTCATGTCAAAGTTATGATTTTTTAATATTATATAGATATTCACTTATTATATATAATTGGAAAAATTTTAGTAGGGCCCCTTGACCCAACTTAATTATAGTCAAAACCTTTAAAATTTTGAAATTTTACTATACATGTGGGAATTGAGATAACCTTATCGAACATGATAAAATGAACAATTAATGTATGAAAAATGAACAAATGATGTATGTGAAACTTACAACTCTTACTAACAATATAACACCACTATAAATATAAACAGGTGAAGTTAGGTGTATGAATAACTCATGTAGAAAAAATGAACAACTAACATAAACAGAATAATTCACAGTAGTATTATGCTACTAATGAAAGTTGCAAATTCTACCTATGCCAGTCATTCATTTTTCATACACTAATTGTTCATTTTTCTTATATAAGTTGTTTATGCACTTAGCTTCATCAGGGATAATAAGAAGAGGAGACTAGAGATGATTCGATAGAAGCTATTAATTACTTAAAGTCAATAGAAGAGCTATGTTGATAAGAGGAAGATGCAATTAGAATTCGAGGTAGGTGACTATGTTTTCTTGAAGGTTACACCTATAGCAAGCATTAGAAAGTCAAATTGAGCTAAGAAGTTGACTCCATGTTTTATTGGTCCCTTTGAAATTTTAGAGAGGACTATGACACTTGCATATCAGATTGCATTTCCACCTCATCTTATGGGTGTCCATGATGTGTTTCACATCTTTTAACTCAAAATGTACCAACTCGACCTATATCACATCATTGAATCAAAAGATGTTGAGCTATGAGAGAACTTGACTTATCAAATAAAACCTGAATGAATTATGGATATGTGAAGGAGAAGCAACTATGAAACAAGATTATTCACCTACTTAAGGTGATATGGAAGGGAATGGTTTCTGAGGATGTTATGTGGGATATTGAGGAGAAGATAAAGCAATAATACCTTCAATTGTTTCAACGAGGTATGTGTTAGTTGATTGTGCAAATTTTGAAGATAAAATTTTTAAAAAGAGGGAAAAGTTATAACATCATAGAAATCTAACCCTTGATTAGCTAAATTAAATGAGGTTAATTAAATAATTAATGTGGTGAATGACTACAGAAAGCTAATGAGTAATTTGAATTGTGGTTTTAGCCCTAAGGGTAAGCCCGGAGCAGAGTTGGGACAACCAAACTTCAAAATGGGAGAAAAATTAAAAGAAGTGTCTTTGTACCGTATGCTGCAAAACATACATCATGTGCTGCAATGCACGAGTCTTACAAGCATGAAGATGACTCTCTGTATCACATGCTGCGATAAAGTGTGATTCGTGTTTTTTTCTTCCATCAAGGCTCAAGTGGCCTAATTTCATTTTGAACTTAATTCAAAAGCTACAATCTCTTCTCTCCTTTGAGAAGAGGGAAATTTTTTGTCCTCTCCATTGGAAAAGCCTTTTTCTTCTGTTCCCGCAATGTCTTTGTTATTCCGTTATGAATCATCACTTCAAAAAATGCCTTTCACCAACGCTCTTCAAGCTACTTTTATTTACCAACTCAAGGCTTAAACTTACTAGTTGGTTCATTTGTTTGTCAAATTCAACGACATTTTCAAATCCTATTAATTGATTGTTTAAGTTACATGACAAAGCATCTTTTAAATTTACTCGGTTTGAGAAATAAGCAACAGATCATCACGTACGCAGAGAGTTGACATGGTTTGGCTTTTATAATGTGGAGCCAGATACTTTTTGAAGAGGGGAAAGTACAAATGTACAAATAACAGAGGGCTTTGTTTATGGAAGTGGAGCTGGAGACCTTCCTCCATCGTTGGCAATTTCGTCGGTCTGAAACATCCAAGACCGTGTTTGGTTCGTAGGAACAGATGGGAATGAAGTGGGAATGGGAGAGGGAATTAGCAATCTAAATATTTGGTGCATATGAATATCCATTCCAATACAATGGTCCATTCCATCATTTGAGGCAATGGCCATTCCACCAGGGGAATGGGGATCCATTCCTAGAAATATTTTTTTTATTGACCAAATTATCCATGGTTATAACTTTTTCAGGCAATCTTATCCTTCCTTACTTTTTCGTACTCTCAGCCATAAATAATAATAATAATAATAATAATAATAATCGTGAATGTAGATAAAGGAAAATACTAGGTTAGAATGGGCAAATTGGGAAATTAGAGACGCGTTGTGTCGGGCTCGGGAGGTCAACGCCACAGTGCACTTCCAGTCTCCTCCTCAAACTTTTTTTGTCGATAACTAAATCATCGTAGAAATTTATATTTTTGAGAACTACCGACTCGGGGCCAAAATAAAATAAATATCGGTGGTGTTCCCCGTGCTTCTCCTTGCCACCCCACCCCCCTTATTATTTTCTTCATATAATTGATAATTGATTCTCTTTTATTTTCTTCATATTTTTAGATCTCCGTCTCTTCTATTTTCTTCTTCATATTAGTTATGGTCTCCACTAACAATTTCTTAACAAGGGTTTGACCATCCCATTGCGTTGAAAGAAAGGCCAGGCAATGTGCCTAATATTATCAAGTCACGTCCCTTGCTTGAATTTCCCAGAGTACACTACGAAACAAAAAATATGCTGCAGTCAACGGTTATTTTCCTCCCTTGATGGCGGTTATAACTGCTACAATAACAGGCGATCGGAGTAAAATCAAAGTTTTTTAAAAAATAAGGACGAAGATTGAATTAATCATGAATGGCAAAAGCAAGCTTGAAATAAATAATAATAATAATAATAAATACTGTTAAGCAGAGTAATGCGAAGTTGCTCGGGTTGGAAACATGTGACTTATAGAGAGGGACAGAGGGTAGTGCATGGACTATGGCGCGGGTGATGCGAGTCTCACTGCTCACACACGGACAGTCTCCCAGTTTCCCACCAACGCATTACGCATCGCTTGCTTTAATAAACTGCAATCTAAATCTCTCCCCTATCATTTGTCGTCTTTTTACTCTGCACGGGAATGGCGAGAGAGCTTCTGCAACTTTATCTGCTGCTGCTCCTCCTCCTTCCTCCTTAACAACGGAATCCTTTTGCACTTCCTCTGCTCATCCCCAAGTTTGCTTTCTCTCATCTGTCTTCCCCGACCGCATTTTAAATTCCTTCGATCTCTTTAAATCTTCATCCCTAAGGTGCGTCCCGCGCCCCCTTCTTACTCTATCCCTGCCCGTTATTTTGCTATTCTCTCCACTTTATGTTTCATTTCACTCCATTTTCTGTGCTTGCACTTTTCACAGTTGCAGTTCTTTTTTTTTTTGCTTCGGATTTACTCACTCCTTCTGTATTTGACTCTGCCACAACTTTATTCTTTACTTATTACTGTTACCTTTTCGGCGTTTTGGCGGCGTCAGGTTGTCCGCAAAATGTAGCGAAGGAAACAAGTTATGATTATTGATCTTAGTCATTCATTAATTCCTCTATGGCGTTCTACCTACACCCTCCACAATTAGCTCCTTGTCCTATGGCGTCCGCCTATTCCGGTCGTACTGTTGAACGGTGTTCTACCTACACCCTCCACAATTACTGTTTCTTTCCTCTTGGGAATATTATTGGTCCCTTTTTTACCAGCAAAATCAGATATTGGAATCATTTTGTGCTTGAAGTGTGGAATTGACAACCCAATTAATCAACCTCGATTATTCCACCTTGAGAGACAAATAAGTAGGATTAAATGCCGCATAATCATATTTATTGGATACTTGATGGTTAAAAGATTGGCTAAACTAGCTTCATGATTACACATTAAGTCTCTTCTGTCTTTTCTTTTTCCAATTCACACACGCACGCACGCACACATTTTTGGTTATAGAGCACTGCTACGAATTTCTTCATGGTGAATAATTACAATGATATCGCCTTCATCTTTCCCAGACATCACTATATTCCATTATCTATCTTCGTGACCTTGTTTTCTTTCGTTTAATTTTTTTCCCCTAACTTTCTAGTACAATTTTATAACTATCCTCTTCTGCCCCGTTCCCATGTTTTTTAAAAATGATCTAACATTCTGGATTTGAACTTTACACAGTGGAGGAAAATTTTATTACTGATCACATGGAGCAGTATGAAATACTTGAGCAAATTGGAAAAGGTGCTTTTGGCTCTGCTCTTCTCGTGCGGCATAAGCATGAGAAAAAAAAGTGAGAATGGAATAAAACTTGCGTTACTTTCTTTCTGTTACCTACTTAATAATGACTATTCAACGATATGATTTGTGGCTGAGGCCTGGAAGTGGTTTTTTTCTTTTTTCTTTTCTTCTTTTTTTTTTTAAACTGTCTTTGAATCATATAGATATGTGCTGAAGAAAATTCGCCTTGCTCGCCAAACTGAGCGGTCTCGTAGATCTGCACATCAGGAGGTTGGTTCTTAATAGTGTATCAACAAATGAACTAACTGAACATTTTGATGTCATTTTCTATTTAATTGATCCCTGCCATCTTTGCTTTTATGGTGATGCTAGTTTGTGGCGTGTTCATGAGCTCTAGACTAGACAAATATCATTTGCTAACATGCCCAAAGAGCAGCTGCACCTACTAGCAAATTCTGTTATTTTGGATGTTTATTGTGAAATTTTGTACTGAAATTGTTATTATACGGGTTCTTGCTGACATTTCTTTTTTGTCTTGTATAGATGGAGTTAATCTCTAAATTAAAAAATCCATTTATTGTCGAGTATAAGGATTCCTGGGTAGAAAAGGTAATACTTTTGTTTCCACTGATAAAAAGCTCACCCTAATAAGCCTGTATTGGAAAAAAATGCTAATTATATCATAATAATATTGTTTAGGAAGTTTAACTCTTGGCCTTATCTGACACTTCCCTTGAATATAATATTGCTCATTTGTTGTTATCACTTGCTGTAATGGTGACCATGCAATAGAAGTTCTTGTCCATGCCATAATAAATGGTTTATTCGTTTTCTTGTATTATGACACTTTTTGTTTCTGATTGCCAATTACATAAAACTAATTGTAATTGCTTTATGTTTGCCAATATTGCGCCTTCCTCTTAGGGGTGCTATGTGTGCATTATTATAGGTTATTGTGAGGGGGGAGATATGTAAGTTTCTCTCTCAAATACCCTTAGTTTATATAATTTGTCGCCTGTCATAAATTGTGGCATTATCTTTTAATAAATACATTATTGATTTAAAACAGGGCAGAAGCTATAAAGAAGGCTAATGGTTTTTTTTTCCTGAGGAGGTATGTCTTTTTCTTTCGTCCTAGCTGACATTAGAATGTCACGATGTGTGATCAAATTCTCTGCATGAGAATTTATCTTTGACTGCATTAGGTTTAGGTGACATTTTGTTATTTGCACTTGAAGTCTAAGAGTCCTTTATCTGCAGAAACTTTGTAAGTGGCTTGTTCAACTTCTTATGGCCCTAGACTACTTACACCTGAACCATATTCTTCATCGTGATGTCAAGGTTAGTGGCAGGTTTCTCTTTGCACTTAACAATGGTATTTCTGTTTCCATGTAAATTTTCTTAACCCTATGCTGGTAAGAACAATTTCATGCTCCTTTCAGTGTTCAAATATATTTTTGACGAAAGATCAAGACATACGCCTTGGTAAGTTATTCTGTTATTTTCATTGAATATGCCATTTGAGGGTTGAAATTTACTTACAAGTGGTTGATGGTGAAGCAGGTGATTTTGGACTTGCAAAAATATTGACTTCAGATGATCTTGCTTCCTCGGTAAGAAACATGCAATCTGTAATTGGATTGATGTTCCAATTTATAAATATTGACCTCTTGTCATCGTAAAAAGAAATAAAATGAGAGTACTTATCTATTGGTTTTGTAACTTAGGTTGTTGGAACTCCTAGTTACATGTGCCCTGAGCTCTTGGCTGATATTCCTTATGGTTCTAAATCAGATATTTGGTCCTTGGGTAGGCAATCTTGTGTTATGATTTTTAGTCCGCGGTGAGTGCTTTGTTATCTTGATAAACGTGCATTTTTTATCCCTTGTATTTGTTGTTTAGGATGCTGTGTATATGAAATGGCAGCTCATAGGCCTGCATTTAAAGCATTTGTAAGTTTCTTACCTTTTTCTCATCTCCATGACTTTGTTAAAGTGACTTATTCTTTTCCATTTTCATTTGAATTTATCCTGTCTCTTGACTTTGTTTCTCTCTTGGATGCCATATTCAATATGCATTGAATTTAGGGAAATTCATCAACTATTTATCTTATCTTCTCAATTAATTGTTAACGTTCATTTATCTGCTTGCTTTATTATCTCTAAAAGAATTGAGAGTTGAGCAGTCCTGCATTCATTGTTCTTTCTGTCTTTTCTGAAATTTTACTGTATCAAAGTTTCAATTTATCTTTCAATTTCACTGAGCAGGATATACAGGCACTAATCAACAAGATTAACAAGTCTATAGTGGCTCCACTCCCAACAAAGTATTCTGGTGCATTGTACGTCTGTCTTTTCATCATTGAGTTATTTGTCTGTCCTATCTGTTACAAATTGCATCTATATGTTTTGCATTATCGAAACCAACATTTCCACAAACTTGGTGCCTAAAATTGTGCCAAAAGGCGTGCATTAGCCCATTACAGATCATTAAGAGTGAGTTTTCTGGTAAAATTATTGTGAATAATGACCAGTTGGTTGTAATATGGAAGATTATTGATTCTAATCCTGTTTGTTTTCTCTTTATGCAGTCGGAGTCTTGTTAAAAGCATGCTGCGGAAAAATCCTGAGCTTAGACCTAGTGTATGTATTACTCTCTTCTGACATAGACAATGCAGTCCAGTATGGATGCTTCATTGCTCTATATTGCACCAGCTTTTGTTAGCTTGGTGATTGATCCATTGTAGACATAAAATATAATCACTTGTGCCATGCACAATAATGCATGTCAAGCATATTTCCCTCAAAATTTGACCTGAATCCAGAAGGCCTGTGCTCATAGTTTTTTTTTTTTTTTTTTGAGCAAATTCTTTACCACCTTTTATGAGTCCTTTGAATGTTAGGATAACAAAGGCTATGCGTGCAAAAATGAGTTTCCTGATCTCTTTCCAGCATTTGGTTGGGTTTGTATTCACGAGAGGATTTTCTTTTGTTCATCTTGTATGAAGGAAATAATTTGAGTTGATGATACATTATAGATGATTGAGTTATGATTCTTCTAGATGACTGTAAGCTCCTGGGAATTTGGTTGACTTAGCTGAGATGAAGAATCACTTTCTTTGATATATTTGCACATGATCTTTAAAATTAGGCTGGCTTCAGCCGACTGAGTGATTTGCTTCCTTCTCTACCTCACTTACCTTTAGCTGCTCTACATTGTGCTGTGCCTGAAGGCCCTGCATAAATTTGACAGTTCAATCACACTGACTGCGATATATAATTTCCATTGCACCCTGTCACGCCTTGCATGATCCATGTGATTCTTATCACTCCTGTGCAGCCCGATTCTTTTTGGTTGAACAACACTGTTGAGTAGTTAAATCCTGTCTTTTGACATTTGTTTTTTGGTCCGAAATCTTCTGCTGAATCATTCCAAATTAGTTGCGGGCAGATATGATGCCTATTTGCTTACCCATACGCATCTAACATCTGATCCATCACATGGAGCCACATTCTCATCTGAAGTGATTTTCTGTGGCAGGCTGCGGAGCTGCTTGGCCACCGGCATCTTCAACCTTATGTTCACAAGATCCATCTAAAGCTTAACAGCCCCAGGCGAAGTACACTACCAGTTCATTGGTCAGAATCCAACTACGTGAAGAAAACTAGATTTCTGGAGTCAGAAGATGATCCTGTTTCAATCTACAGAGATAAGCAACATTCTTTTGGCAATGATCTGACTCTTAATCCCAGCCTATCTGGAGCTGAGCAAGATTCTGTATGCTCTACCCTAGAAATAGATTGTACTCCAGATAATTTGAATCAGAAGTCTGCAGAAGTATATATTGGAGATAGCCTCGAGGTGAAATCAGTCTGTAAGCCTGTTGTTTCAAGGACATCTAGTTTCACCAAGACTCCAAGACATGCCTCCATAAAGGCTTCTACCACCTCTAAGAAATTAATGGAGCCCCAAAAAAAGCACATGTCGGTAAGACATAGCCATTGTTTTCTCCTTTTCTCTTTCATTCCTCTTCCTACATTCCCCCAGCCCCCCTAATTAAGTGGAAGCAGCATAGTTGTTTGGCTTCTAAAGTACTTGCTTGTTGCAGCTTCCTACTCTACGCAAAGCCAGACAATCAGTCAATACATCTCGCAGAGCATCATTTCCATTGCACACAAGAAGTTCTGGTCAACACTCTCGGCATGGGCCTGTTATTGGTTTACTTAGCCATATAAAGTCTCCAGATATTTCAGTAAACTCTCCTAGAATTGATAAGATAGCTGAATTCCCACTGGCGTCATATGAGTATCCACTTTTTCCCATCTATAGAACTCCAACCTCAGTGCAGGGTTCCTCAGGCTCCACACCTTTTGGTGGTCGTTCAATCATGAAAGATAAATGCACGGTTCAAATATGTGATAGAGCCTCTGTCAAGCATCGATTGACAGATTCATGGCAGGGAATCAAGCTAAACACGTTTCGGGAAAATGCTGAGGATAAAAGTGGCTCCTCTGATCAAAATGCAACTGTTGGAGCATCAAGCCATGCCTCGTCAGACATGTGCCGCCGGCAGTTTGACACCTCATCATACCAGCAAAGGGCTGAAGCGTTGGAAGGGTTGCTTGAATTTAGTGCAAGATTGCTACAACATGAAAGGTATGAAGAACTTGGGGTTTTATTGAAACCATTTGGACCAGGGAAGGTCTCTCCTAGGGAAACTGCTATCTGGTTGAGTAAGAGCTTCAAAGAGAACACTCAACCGTGAAGAATCCCTCTAATCTGGCGTTTTGAGCACTTTAGTCATAGATGTGACTATTTGGAGCGTTCCTTTTTTTTTTTTTTTTTTTCAAATCTCCCATACCATGGTAGCATTTAAACGACTTCTGATTTTTGTAGGTTATCCTTAACGGATTTCTTCATTCAATTCTTTTGCTGAATCATGTTAATTCGAAGTTCTCAATCCGACAAAACGAACAATTCTTGTCTGACAATTGTTTATATGGTCGTATTCTGCCCCTTCCCTTTTCTTAAACCTTATGTTGACCGGAAAAGGAAGAAAAGTTAAAATTCTAGTCTTGACTTCAATGCATCAGTTGATTACATGAGTAGATTCTTATTGCAGACACAGAACAAGGAGCAACTATCGTTAACCAATATATATCTATTGAAGCTCTAGTTAGTTACAATTTCAAAATTTTCATCCAAAACACCATGCTTTGCTGCTTTTGGATGCTCGGATTAGAATCCCGTACAACAACACTCTCTCCTGCTCCAAGATTAACAGAGAGGCAATTCGCGATTGTCAGTATTCAGGTAAAATTAAAAAAGGATACAATTATTATAATCGGTGCGCTGAGCATATCCGTTCTCCTGAGATGTCATTGATTTATCAATATTCGCATGCCACTTGACTCTTAAAAGTTGGATTTCTTGCTTTTTGTTGGGAGCAATGTAGTTTCAATAACAAGAATTACTAGTCGCCGTGCTGCCGTGGAAGGACCCACTTTTGCTGTCCGTGGATGACTCGTAATGGTTCATAACCCAATGGTCCTCGTTTCCATGGTAGATAAAGCGTAAGGAGTTCGAGGACATAGATTGCCTTCGACCATCCAATGAAAAATTCAAGTCCTTTGTAGATTCTACGGGCTTGTTTTTGCGCCTTGTACCTTGTACGGGTCGTTGTTTTGGTTCACTGCAAGACCTTGCTTTAGCTCTCGAAGATTCCGTCCTAGTGAGGCCATTGGGTGCCCGTGACATTGAATGGCGCTGGTTACTTGATAAGCTGTTTCTTGAGCTGCTTGGTTCTGCGTTTAACGCATGATCCTGGTACTGATATTTTTCCTTTGGATAGAATGACATGACAGCATGCTCTGTATCTGAAGGATCTAGAGGACCACTTCTACTTCCCATGATTTCCAACATTTCTTTTAGGTCCATATCCTTTGGGTCCTGTGAATGACCACGTGATAGTTATGTACTGGGAATTAAGGTTTCATAACCAGAATAATCATCTACTGCATATCTTTCATCAAAAATACCATATATATTGGGAACATTTGACAGAGACTCACTTTAGATTCTTGTGCAGTAGATGGTGTAATACCAGAAACCATATCCCGAGAAATTTGAGGATGTGGGGGTGAGTATTTTGGAAGCAGCAGATTAGCTTCTTGTGCGGTCTGAAGTCTTTGAATTCTGGCTCTTACTTGAATAGCCATCAAGGCATGCATGCCTCGCAGTGTAGCGCTTGTTTGTTTCCTTACAAGATGGCCTCTTACTTGTGCCTGTATCTTCACTAGTCCCCTCAAAGCAAGCAATGCTTTCCTCGCCTAACAAAAAATTGCATCTTCAGAATTCAGAGGAGCGGGCATAAAATTGAGGAGTGATCGAGGGAGATGGAGAGAAGGACATTACCAAATAGGAGCGAAAAGCAGCCTGAATCTTGGTAGCAGCAGAGCTTTCAATGTTTGTAGGAGCCTTTGGTAGTAGACAAGTTGAAAGAATGTATGGAGCGTCGGTTTGCAGAAGCGATTGTACTTGGAGGTTAGCAGAGTAGCTTGAATCAAAAGAAGCGGAAAATCTATGCGCAGTTGCGTTCCCTGTCGTTCTGGTGCTTGACTTTCTTCCAAGGCTCCACCTGCGCTTCACTTTGGGACTTTCAGCAATGTTGTTCTCATTGTAGGACCTGTCCACCTTATATTTCGCTTCCTTTTTCCCCATGAGATGGTTTCTTATCCATTTGCTCGCCTTCTCCATTTCTTCTTGTCTGCTTCCGCTAACGGCAACCTAGCAAGTTGGTGGTTAATAGCTGACAAAATTCTAGGATTAAACACACGCCTGCATAGATGCTTCTATATATTTAGAGGACCAAGTCCTGGTTGTGGTCCATATTTTAGTTTTGGTCTCCTTAGTCTTGCATTATTAAATACCGCATTCTTCAATGAGGTCAGTGAAGGATTTTCTTATAAATTGGTGATTTTCTGGTCATCAACTACAAGGGCTCTTGCCTGCAAAGCTTTCCCTGATAAAGCCACTTGCCACCCTTGTGGGAATTCTTGAATATAATTTGATGGAGCTTGCCATTCCACCATTGCCTTAGCCGAGTACTGAAGAGCCGTAACATTACCCGAGCTCAGGCTCCCACAAGACGGCCGCTAAAACTTGCTTGTGATGACGGTGCTGCTATATAAAATTGAGAATTTACAACTGTCACTGTTATATTCCTTCCTTCCTTGTTTTCTTTTTTTGGTCTTCTCTGAGGTTAAAACTAGGACTCAAGGGCCATCTTGGCAAGCACTCGTCAGCTACTACAACAAACCACCAGAGTTTAGTTTAGCTCTAAGATGATTGAACCACAAACCTCCGACAACAACATCGTGCACAACCGAAGCCTTTTTCATCAACATACCGACCAACACTTTGATTTTGAAAACTGGCAACTTCAATTTCTTCGGCCTGACCACGCCATATAATAGCAAGGCTTTTCATATTCCATTTCCCATCTGCGATTTGTCCAGGACGTCATCGCTCCTGTTCAATTTCAATGGATTCCCCCCCCCATCATCATAAAGTCTGTCTGATGTCTCTTGGAAGAACTTGAGGACCGAGATTTATGCCAATGGGTTATCTTGTGAACGTTTGATGTGGGTTTACCAGTGTAGGTAGAAAGCTGGGATTCTTCAAGTGGCTTGCATTGAAAGAGAAAAATGATCAGATGATATTTAGTCCCTTTAGATTCCTTTAGATCAATAAGCTGGGATTCTTATAGTCAAGGATTTGTAGTGTTAACTAATTAATCTTAAGTTAGAAAAGGATGAGAAGAAAATGGAGTGTCATGCTACTGATTTGTTCAGAACTCAAGTGTAGATTGCAGTTTCCTTCAAGAGTGTGCTGTCTTGCTTATATTGTCTGATCACTCTCTCTCTCTAGTTAATTAGTAGTGGAAGCACCATGTGTTCCTGCAGTTCCTTGGGCTTTCTGCTACAAGTGAGAGCGTAGGGAATATATTCTTTCGAAGATATATTGGGCGCTCCAATCCTCCAATGCAAGGATAAGAATCATAAGATCACAAGTAGTGATAAAATGCATAGCTTTAACTGTCGCAGATAAGTCTTGTGAATAAATATAATGTCGAAAGGGGAGCTTGCATTGTAATAAAAGACTTGAACCATTAAACCTCATCCAGGGGAAGGCTGTCCCCGTGTTGACATCCAATGACTCGAATAGGGATTGGGTGAAGATGGACGGCTTTCTATTTCATTATTTCATTTCTTTTCTTTTTTTTTTTTTGCCAATTACAATTTATCGTTCTCCCCCTAAGCTCTGGATTCAGAATGATTCGTCTCGTACAGTGGTACTTCCATCAACGTTATATTTATTGATCTCATGGGGTTCATCAGAATACATCCAACAAGGTACAATTTTTTTTTTTTTAAAGAAAAGCAAGATTTGAGAAACAAGGACCTACACTACCCGTTTGAGATTAATGGCAAGCAGCTCAAATCATCAGTGGATAGGGAACAAGAAGATAAAATCCGAGCTACAGAGGAGTTATGGAAGTCCTCGCCACGAGCAGGACGTAATCGATCACTTGTTCTTCATTTCAACTCCACTCTTCCCAGCTATTATCACGGAAGTGGCCATATTCAAGAACAGTCCGTGCTCCACAACGCCTTCCAACGCAGATATTTCAGCTCCGGCAGCCACCCCATCCCTAATCGGAGTCTTGAAGTACAAATCTACTATGTAATTCGAATTATCGGTCACATAGGGTTTTCCGTCTGCGTCTAATCTCAATTTCGCATCGCATCCTTCTTCCTTGAACAACTCTTGAAGCCTGATCAAGTTGTACTTCCAACAGAATTGAACCACCTCAACCGGCATTGCCAATCCACTTCCGCCAAGGCCGGTCACCAATTTCGTGTTGTCAACAACCACGACGAATTTGTCGGAGGCAGCCTCCACCATTTTCTCTCTCAATAGAGCTCCACCGCGGCCTTTGACCAGGTTAAGGTCAGGGTCAACCTCATCGGCGCCGTCGATGGCCAAATCAAGACGGGGATTGTCATCGAGGATGGAAAGAGGGATGCCAAGAGAGCGGGCTTGCTCTTCAGTGCGCTTGGAAGTGGGGACTCCCACAATGTCCTTCAATTGACCGGACTTAAGGAGCTCGCCTAGCTTGGCGACGACGAAGGCGGCAGTGGAGCCGGTGCCGAGACCGAGGATCATGCCGCTGCGGACGTACTCGACGGCTTTATCGGCGGCGAGCTTCTTGAGGTCATCCTGGGTGAGGACGGGGGCGGAGAGGGCTTTGACGGAGACGGCGGCTCTATGGGGGAAGGTGCGGAGTTTGATGGAATTAGGTGAGCGCAGGAAAAGGTTGATAGAGGCAGTGTGGTGCGAGGAAGACAGCGAAGGAGGCGATGAGAGGGATAAGGAGGCCATGGATTGTGTGGAGACCAATGTCCACCAACGCTAACAACAGCGGATGCGATTCTAATTCTATGTATTGCAGAGGAAAATTTAGCCAATTACTTGAGCCTCGCCTTTTTGTCTCCTAGCTTCACTAAACGCAGAGGTTGGTGGCCTTGGTTCTCCTGTACTGTTGCCTTTCAGGTTTTCACCTTCTCTCACCTCTTCCTCCCATCTTTGTTTTTCTTTCTTTTTTTTTTTTTTGTTTTGTTATGATAAATCGTTGACCTCTGGTTGCATCTTACTTTCATTATTTCATTACCTGATCATGGCTCTTCCCTCCCATGCTTGTTTTATTTTGGAGTTTTGTTACTTTTGTTTTGAAGTTTTAGTTAGTTTGTATTTTTTATTTTTAAATTCACGAAACAAAAGCTATGCACACCCTTTGTGGTGTAAGGTCTTGAGTTCGACCCTTCCGCTCTCATCTATTCATTTCATGATTTCATCTTAAAATGATTCATGCCGTTTATTTTAAGTTTATTTTTTCAAATATTTTTAAATTATTTTTATTAAAATAAAATTTTAAGATTAAATATTGATGGTCTTTTTTGCTCATTGGGGGATGAGTATTATAGTACTCATCACTACTGATGGGATTTAAACCGTCCAAACTTCAAGCTTTTTATTTTTATTTTATGTTTATCATAATAAAAATTTATAAAAATTATAAAAATTTTTAATACATTTGTTTCTCATCAATCTAGCTAGTATAAATTTAATTTGGACTATCTCATTTAATGTTAAAATATTTTATAATTTTATAAATTGATTATTCAAATATAATTTAAATAGTATAGATATAATTTGAACGATTTAATTTAATATTAAATTTTTTATAATTTTTACAAATTAATTATCTAGATATGTTTTAAATAGTATAAATTGAATATTAAATTTTTTATCATTGTTATAAATTTTTTTAATAATAAAATATTAAAAATATCTAAAAATAAACTTAAAGTGAACGGTATAGATATTTTAAAATAAAATGAACGGCATAGATTATCTAAAAGTGTGATGAGAATCTCGTGCTCGTCAGCAATGTGAACGCTTGTTTGCATATCTAAGCATCCTGCCACTTGCCTTGTCTACCATGTTATTTGCAATTTTCGAATTATATTCTGGTAATATTGCTTATATAGAATTAATGGGGGTTGAATTTACAAGAAAGAACTAGCCCCTCATAAGGTGGCAAATATAAGGTTAGAATCTTCGTTGAAAAAAGTGTCAACATTCATTCAGTATCTAGTTATACTTTGAATGGGATTATCCTACTAAAAGGACAATTGTAACCGATAAAAAATTATTGCTGATATAGACCCCACTTTCTTGACCCTTTACTTGTACTGTAAGAGTGGAAGGCTGGAAGCCGATGGTTATGAAAGGGCTCGAAGAGGACTGAAGATCATTGACTTTGGGGAAAGGGCATATTCAAATTGGATAGGTGCTTGTTGGTCCAAATATGGATAGGTGCTCATGCCCGTTACTCGCTCCTCCTCTTATCATGTCTATTTCATTTCGTACAGGATGTTGCACAAATCCTTTGCCATAACTGTCTTGTATTTACTACTTTTTTGGGTTGCATGTGATAATGTATAGAATCTAGAGGTTATGTCTCCTTTTACTGCTGAATATGAAAGGAGCTTGGCTTCATTCATAATGTTATCCATCACTTGTGTCATTTACACGTCTTGCACCAATGGATGAGAGATATTACCTGTTTATTGTCTGTTTCTGCAGGCACATCATGCTTGAATAATGCCCTTGAAATACTGTAGTGGTTCCCATAAACCATATTTGAAGCTCATGGTCCAGCGTGAGCTATGCGTCTTCTGATCACAACTTTGGCTATTTACGGCATTTTGTGATATTGGTTATTGAAAATTGAAATAGGCCATAAAATAATCCAAAGCCATTTCCATTTATCATTTTTAGAATATTTTGTAATAATGCTTTAGCAATATGCAAGTAAATCTTCATTTCATAGCATATAAAATTCTATATAATTAAGTCATATCAATACAAATAAGCCACTTGCCATTTAATTTTCTGCATTACCCGTTTTGCTCAATGAATCATAGGGAGATGGAGAAAGATTGTAATGCAATGATATCATGATCAGGGAGATGGATAAGGTGGAGAACTGGTGGATTTCAAATCTGGTGAATTTCGGATCTGGTCCATGAGCTTCAAATTTGGGAGGAGGGAGGGCGATTACAGTTGACGGATATGAAGAGGGCATTCAATATTTGAACGAGTGAAGATGGAGAACCAGTGAAGGATGTCAATGTTCGGACCTTGTGGAAGAGGTTCGTTGGAGGTGATGTTTGAACCAGAGCAAGCCAAATGGCATTCATCGGGGATGGCAGAGATGACTTCACAGACCTGATGAAAAGGGAGAAGGTCAACGGTGGTGGTCACTGGTGGAGGAGGTTTGCTGGCGTGTGGGAAGGTTGACGGAGATGAAGTGGAAGGAGGAGTAGGGCTGATGATGGGAGTGAGCAAAAGAGGAATACAACATTATGTAATGGGGAACGCATACCCTTTTCCCTTTTTTTTTTTTTTTTCCCGGGGTAATCCCAATTATGACACGAGGTAATCTAGTTTATTCATGTCACTGCTTTTACTTAGCTTTGGCCCAACCAAACATTATGAATGAGGGTTCTAAGGAATACATCTAACCACACGAGGCCTCTAGAATTTAGATCATTCTGGTCCTTTCCCAGCGACATGATAGAGAGAGAAGCCTTTATAAGTTATAACAAAGGTAATTTGAATCTTCAGCCTCCTGGGGAAGAAAACTACTAAGTTTACACCATCTCGATCTGACCCTGGAAATCACTCTATTCAGCTGGTAACTATTCTATCTTTACGCTGTTCTTGCGTAAAGGTCAATGCTCCCAACTTGCAGCCGAGAAGTTGATTGAATATCTCTAGATGCCAGAAACCTGAACCTGCTAATCCATACCTTCCGTGAGTCCTGAACCAAAAATGTGAAGCAGGGTCAAGAGATGCGAAGGTTAATACCTGAAAACATTAGATGGCAAACGCGTTGAGGAAATTGTGTATATTCTACGCTGGAAACGATCTTCAAAGACCTGAGAGGTTTGCTTATCCAGAACTCGCCAGCTGATTCCATCATCTTCGCTCCCTTCAAGGATCCTGAGAACAAATGCTGAAAAAGGTCATCGATGTAGCACACCCGCCTTAACTGAAGCAACAACCCAAATGTACTCTACAAAGCACAGAAACGTTCACCGCAACTTTCTAAGAAAAAATGGTCAACAAAAGAGTCCCTTGCAGCAGCGTCAGTTCCAATTCTTTTGTTGTAGCAAATAAGTGATTAACAAGCAGACAGACTAGAGTACAACAACATAAAGGATACTCAACAACTTACTAATTAATTTGTAATGAAAAAAGAGCTAGAGAAAACTAAAACATCATTTGATCCTGAAAACATCTTCACATGCTATTTGGAATTACAGTAAAGATCAAGAGGCATGGGATAAATTGGTTAAACAAAACCATACTAATGATTCTTTTAGGGCCCGTTTGGTATGATGGATTTGGGAGGGTTGAAATGCATATGAAAATGAAATTGAAAATTGTGTTTGGTTGGTTAAAATCATATGGAATTGGACTTTCACGTGGAAACCATTTCCATCAAAATTGATAGAATTGAGTTCCATCTGTAAAACTGATAAGGATCCAAATCAGCTTTGGAGACCCTTAATAACTTATCATCGTAGAAAGAAGAGGAAGATAGTTGAAATTGATGCTGTCATGCATGTTTTAAGGGATTTATCTGATTTAAATGATTTAAATTAATTATTGCTGTTATTTTATTTGTTATTTGAATTGTTATTTTGTTAGTTGCTAAATAATAGGACCTCAAGGCTGTTAGGGAGGTTCCTGCGAGTAGTTCCTGATCTTTAGGCTAGTATCTTGCATTATTTGAATTATTCAATTGTACTCTTTTATTTTAAATATCCTGGCTCCCATACACAGCAGGATATGAATGAAGAAATAATCCCATTACTCCTTAGCAGATTCTCCTACTTGGCTGTTAAGTTATTTAGAGTGAGATCCTTGCTCTAGCTAACTTAATAGATTACTTTTCCTAATCCCTACTATTCTAAGTCCCTATCAAAAACTCAGTTTTTCAAATCCCATCTTACCAATTTCATTTTTTACCCTTCCTCTCATCCACCGAACTGAATGACAGCAACCTTATTTGCAAATGGCAAGGATGAACCAAGGTCTAAGAACGGTGAGGTCAAACCAGGATCTCTGGTGACCTCCAGTGATTTCGCAATCTCTCCTACCAATGGCGGGTCTTCTTTTTCACAGCAGCGGCGATGATGAAGGCTTCCCATGAGATCGGCAAGCAAGGATGATGAAGCCAGCAATGTGGGTAACAATCTTATTCAAGCTAAACCCGAGGCTTATTCAACACAGAATCCTTGATTTCAGGTTTGTGGTGGTTTGGCGAAAGTCCAGTGAAGGTGGTTCATTCTCAAATCTGTGGGCAGGAGCTTCATCTTCTTCATCGATCTAGGTTATAGGGGTGGTCCTTTGATCTGTGTTGGAGCACATTTTTTTGGGACTAGGGCATTTTAATCTTTTCCTGTTTTTAGTATTAATATTGGATAAAAATAATCTCTCAATTCCATGAACATATCAAATATATTTGTAAACCTCATATCCATCTCCACTTTCACATCCATTTTCATTTCTATCAAAATCATTTTCACCGTACCAAATGGGGCATTAGGTTTCCATGCAGAATTGGATTGTTTGAAATGCTAAACATGATGCAAGCAAGATGAGAAGAAGGGAAGCTTTGTTGGAAGAGGATTTTTGCTCAAGCTTGCCGGTTGATTTGGAAAGTGAGATTTCCTTTAATTCTCATGATGTGGATGACAACTGGTCTCCACCTAATGTCAATTTGGTCCGTTTGGATGTGGACAGGTCAGTGAATCACAAAGGGAAGGCTACTTGTAGGGGTCTAGCACGAGACTCACAAGACAACCGTGTCAAAGTTTTCATGAAAAAGCTAGGATTAAGAAGCAGCTGCATAGAGGTTGAGTAGAGTGGCATCCATGAGGGGCTCAACTTATGTTGGACCAGTGGTATAAGCAATATAGTTGCTGCTAGTGACGCAGTAAAAGCAGTTAATGAGTTTGTCAAAAATAATGTTACGAACTGGCCTATGGTTGATATGATTGAGAGTATTAGGATCCTCCTTGCTATTGAATGGAACATCAGTTTTTATCATGTATATTGTGAGGCCAGTTAGTTAGTAGATCATACCACTTATTAACCGAGTGTTTATTAATAGCTGTAGCTTGTAATCTCCCTCATCTGTAAGTCATTTTAGAAACTCTTCTTTCTTTCCTTTTCACAGTCTTCTCACATGCTTTTCCCATAGCCTATTAATTAAAAAAGAAAAAAGTAAAACATGATTTGACCAAATGTTCCAAGGACCGTACCAATCCATCGGATCCCTTTCTGGTGCATCATTGGCTGACATCAACTCATATGCTGCAAGTTCATACTTCTTATTGCCAAAAGTTCTATACTCGATCCAACAACCTACAAGATCAGTCAAAAAATAATCTATTAATATAAGAATAAGCAAAGTAATATTTGTACCTTTTAACCTCATGAAGACGGAAGAGAAGGTTAGGGGTTAAGTAGGATAACACAAGGCTGGCATTTAACCTGTAGTCAAACATATACTTGGTTGTATGTAATAAGTAAAGGTGTTATCTAATTACAATAAGAAATTTCATAAGAATGGAATTAGTTGAGAATATGAAATTCAGGGTTATCAGTATTTAGTATAGCAAGATGGTTGACGAAAATAGTGCAAGCTATAAGCAGAGTGGAAAGCATGACAAACCTCGTCAAGATAATCCTCATAAGAAACTAAAAGGGAAAATGTAATTTTCAGTCCCTAACCTTGTCCTCAATTACCGATTCAGTTTCTAAACTTCTATTTAGAAGAACTCCATCCCTATAGTTTTTTGACTTAGAACAACTTAATTGTTATAGTTTTTCGACTCAGTACAGCTAAGTCTTTATAATTTCTTAGCTCAATCGACGGCAAGAATTGAGTTGTATTGAATCATAATTTAGAGACTAAATTGATAATTGAGAGAAAGTTCAGAGACTTAGTTATATTATCCCCAAAGTAAGAGCAATATCTTGGTTAAATAGTTTATGGAACTAAATTTAAGCTTTTGTCACATTCTCCACTACAGTTTTGGCCAAAATAAAATTTCTCGACTACATTAAATAAGCTATTTCATTCAGTCAAATGTACCTCTTGCACCATTTGGTTCTTCCCATTTTGACAGCCGGGTTCCATCAAATGCTGATGTAACCTGAAATACGATAGTTATAATTATAAATGCCCGAAGATAAAAGTAACAAGAAACATAGAGTAAACTGGCCGTATGCAAATTTACAATCCCGGAAGGCAACTCTTCTGCGCTTGCAACAACCGAACCAGAGTGTATTCTGTTCAACTTCAACATTGGCAATGCAAGGGACTCTGCAGTAAACTTTTCACATTTTTCAAGACTCGATAACAAATCATCCAGAGCATCCAACACCACAGGCAATGCCAAAGAAGTTCTAACAGGGTCACCAGCCAACCAAATTTCAACACTTCCATCTGTGTCCACCTTCTTCTCCAGTGAAAGAGCATCAAGTAGCTCATCAAAAGATGGAAACGACTCCTGAAATATTGGATTCTTTAGAGTTGAATCGGATGACGTCCTTCTTGTCTTGAAGGGGGAATGTTGAAGATTCAAGACTATTCCCCGCATAATCTTAAGTACTTCAGCAGCTTCAGATATTGTTAGTGCTTCGTTGACAAATTGATGAAGGATGGGACGAAATGCATTATAAATTCTTGTCACGTGCTCATCTACACACAAACGAACAGGGCATGAAGAAGAACTTAGCGTGGAATTCTTATTGGAACCAATTTCCATTCTGGATCTACACCATTCCTCATCCCCACTTCTCCTTCCAGGTAATGAGAGTGAGACATCATCTTGAGAATGTAAACATCTCTCAAGAAGTTGTTTTTCCTCCACATCACGGGCTTCAATGATTGAAAGTAGTTGAGATGGAAAGCCTCTTCGACATTCTTTTGTTATGTTAGCGAGTACAGATGACAAGGCAGGCTCTGTAATTATAGTACGTTGAGATAGAACCTGTGGTTTCAAATTGATAGGGAAATTTCTTATCAATATTTCAATAATTTAGAACTATTACACATGTTTCAAAATCATGATTGATAAGGTATACATAATTTTTTTAAAAAAAAAAAAGCAGTTGCAAAATCTACCTCATGCCACTTCCTTGTGTACCGTTTGGTGACATCATAAACTCCATCTTTGGCCACCGCAATACAATAGTTCAATTTCTTATTCCACCTACGGCATAAATGAGAAAATGACATAACAATGAGCAAGACAAAAAATTCTCAGTACAAATACTTCCCCCATTCAATTCATGAAGGCACTGCAAAAGTGAATATACCCCTTTTCATATAATAATGGTTTGTCATAGACTCCTTCGCATGGGTCAAGATGCATCCACCTGGAAGATCAAAAGAACTCAGAGACAAGTAATGCCACTGAAGAAATAAATTTCCTGCAGCAGAATATAAAAGCCAGAAGCTTGTGGGTCAATCCTACCTTCCCAGGAATTGTGAGAAGCATTCTGTCCAAACATGATCTGTAAAGTCCACAACCTGGAGATAAACAAAAACCAGCATCGGTAAACTTCCTCAAGAAATATACCGACATACATATTCCCCAGCTAGATAAGGAAAGCTTATTCAGAGTTTCCAGGACTCAAAGTTGATCTTAAAATGCATGTTGTGAAAAGAAATTAGCAGGGACAAACCAGGCGTGAATCATAGCCAAAAGCTCGGCAATAGAGGGTAAAGCAATTAGCCCATTCTCCACAACGCCCCTCTCTTGTCTGCACTAACTGCAGATCAAAAGCAAGGAATGAGAATAACCATCTACACATGCCTTACTTAGCCTTTGGTTTTGCCGTTTTGCCAAAAACATATTATAAAACTAACATTTCATCACTAGTTGAATACCTTTATTGGATCATTGTAGCGAGGAAAACGAGTGAATTTGGAGCAAATGGTACACCTGTGTTGTGAAAATAAATGAAGATAACAAAGGAAAAATAAAGCTAGTCAGGCAGTGAATAGAAGCAGAACATTAGCCGATCCAAAAAAAACTTTTTAAAAAAGCCTTATAAGCAAAAGACCAGAACTCAGGCAACAATGGTCAATCAAGTTAAATGGTTGTAAGCTTATCAGTATCACCGGATCTCCCAAGCTTGCATAGGGATGTCATGAAGGATCTTATACTGAGATAAATTTTGCTAGTATAAACTTGGGTCAAATACTGTTCAAACAGAAGAGATCGCACGAACTTATTGCAGATGTTCTATATTTTCTGCTCTATCTCTCTCCCAGCTCAATGCGTTTGAATAAGTTAAAAACAATATACTGATAGTCAAAATCAAAGCAAGCATATCGTTTTAAAAAACATACTCAGCATATCATCAGAAAGGTCGCCAAAGCATGACAATGAAGTATCACCACAATTACAGGTAAAACTTCTAGTTAATTAACAAGAAAGAGCTTGTTGATCCTGGAACATTAAGATGGTCTTAACTATAAAGAAACCAATGAGCTGATTCTTAAAAAAAAAGTCAAAGATATATATATATATATATATGAAAATTAACTGCATCATAATGGAGGTGCACAATTAGTTCATCCAACATGTTACAAGATAATACAAACATTTAAGATTAGTAATTACAGAAGCATCCAGCCATGAAGATTGCCTGAGGAAAATAGGAAAAACCATGCCACAATCTAAGTCATATATTCTAAGGCCATACCTGTAAAGTTCAACCCTGGATGCCCCATAAAGAGTCTCAGAAGGAAGAGCATCAGTCATGCCCTGGCCAACAGTTTTATTGCCACAATCATGGCAAGGAGGTGAATTAACCCATCTATTGGAAGAGGGCATAAATTCACCCCGAAACAAAAAAGGAAAAGAATGATCAAATGCAACTAGTACAGTAAAACAATAAAAAATGCAACTGGCGTAAGAGAACATATATGAAAATTTGCTGGTGAATGAGTAATGAAATATCACAGCAGCAATGAATTATAGTTGAATGAAAAAAATTCCACAATTTTATAAACATGATAATTCTGCTCTGTCCAATCTCAAGGGAAATATTAATCATCAACATATCTTTTTAAGTGAGCCCCCCCCCCCCCAAAAGGCAAGGGTGAAATCACGTTGCCACCTTATTCAAAGTGTGTCATTCAATCTCATTGTGGCCAGTGCCTGCATCACATAACCACTCTAAGGTACGTTTACTCTTTAACAGAACTAATCACATGGATGTTAAAACCATGAAAAAATTCATAATTGAAAGTATGTTTCATCACTTATACTTTGAAGAATTCCACAGTCTTCTAAGCCTTATTGGAACTAGGGCAACATTTAGAAATTGAAATTACTTGCTTAATGTCAGCACAAATCTCAAATTACAATGAAGATATTCAGCATTTCAATCAAAGAGTTATTTTACAATGAATCTGCTCACTGTTTCAACATCCACAAGTTTTTACCAATTAAAATTTGGATATAAGAATTTTGAAGTTAAATGTTAATGTTACAAAAGCCCAAGTGTTGAATCACACACTTTAAACCACAAGGGTCAAACTAACTTTGAGCCGAACCAAAAAGAGTAAACTATGATTTACCCTTTATTTTAAATTAAGAGTTGAGCAGCAAATGCAATGAATAATGATCTATATACCTAAAGGATTGTTTAAACCAGAACAGCAGCTGGAGAAGGAAAGCATGATCTTTTTCAGATTTTGATGGATTGAAGTTCCCTTCCTGAAAAATGTTCATTAGATTTACCAATCACCATATACCGTAGCAGCATTAAACATGCTATGTGATGGAGAATAAGAAGAGAATATTAGGATACATGGAATGGTGAGAGAAGTACTCTGGGTGAAGCAAATTCTAGATATTTAGTTCCTCCCTACCTTCTTCCCTTCCTCTCTCTAATTAACTTCCTCCTTCCTCTCTACTTTTCCCTCTACTGGTCTAAATCACTGTGCTTATAACATGGAAACCAAATCTCAACTCTCAAGCTCACTATTGAAACAGAACTAAGACAAACAAAAGACATCCAAGAGTACTTCAGAAAACCAGAATGAAATAATTTGCCAAAGAATTCAACAGCAAGTGAATTTTAGGTGTTCATTTTCAATTAGGCAATCAATATTAAAGAATTACGTTATGTTTGGTCATGTTCCTTCCGTTCTGTGGTCTTTCATGATATATACAATCACCATTTCTATAAATCGTCCTCATAGCAGTGGCCAGCATTATAGTAGATTCCAAATACAAGGCTGAAACCGATTGATGATAAAAAAGATTCACAAACACATAAATCATGACCATATTTGTGTACTGAGGACTTCGTTTCCAAACTGGCAAAGGTTTCATGAATGGGCTTTTATATTTATAATTTCACATAAATCAATTTGGCACTCAATTCCTAAAATGATAAGTAAAAGCAACTCTATCTAAAGAACTGACTTCAAGTCCACTAGTCCTCCCCATGAGTACGCTCATATATCATGCCTCCTCTTTCAAAGAGACAAAGAAACTCACTAACCTTGGCCAAGGAAACCAACGCTTTCTCCTCAAGTTCTTCCACAGGGACAGTCTTCCGAGCAGCTTCCTGGCTGCTTGAATCCTCATACTACATGAATCATGATATCAGAAGACTTAAAAGATGGAACCATTGGAGTTGTAATTATTCAATAGCAAAAGGAATCCAAGTTATTCTATTCCATGGACCACAGTATACTTTTCATTTTTACAAGCAGTTTCATGAACTCAAACGCCTTGTATTCATCTTTCTCACTACCAAACGTGTGAAATTACCATTTGGATTTGATTGAGGTAAGGCCGTATTCTATTCCCAAATTGTCCATTATCTTGGCTCGCAAGATACTGCCGCAACATAAGCTCTTCCTCCTCCGCCTGCACATACAAATAGAAAAATAGATAAAAGAGAAAGATAATGAATTTCAAATAAATATGATATGCACTTCAAAACTTGCATCCATTGCCAAAACCTCTGTAAAATGACCCAAGTTCTCCTAGAGGAAAAAAAGGGGCGGCACCTGCAAGAGTCTGGCCAGCTCCTCGTCTGATCTCATCAATTCGGCATTCTGAGTGCTTGATTCTGCCTGTTGTTCATCTTCGTCGATGGAAACCAATCGCAGTTTCTCGGAAATGGTGATGAGATCGGAGTCACTTGCCACAGGGCGATCATCTTCACAACCATAAATCTGTACTGAAAATTATCGATAAACAAAAGAAGGCACAAAATTTCGCCAGCTGTTGGGCACTGGCACACAAGGACAAGAAAGTATAGATAGAATGGATTAATGAGAATTGGAACCTTTTGCTCATCGGGGGGTATAGAGGTGAGGGAGAAGAGCTGGATTTTGAAAACCTGCAGAAAGTAACGAAGTCGGGTTACAGGAGAAGTGTCGAGGGGAAGGAGGAAATGGTTTTTGGGAGGAACGCGAGCATACTTCGAAGCCATCGTCCGGATCGTATTCGACATCGAAGTTGGAGTCGTGGTGGAGCACTTCAAATTTTCGGGCCACCATTTTCTCTTCCTTAACAGCTCCGAAGCTGAATGTCCGATGTCGTTGGAGGGAGGATAGTCAGTGAGAGCTTGCTGTCTACTATTTTTTTCGATCCTCTTCTCCTACCGTTTACGGCCCAAAAGGAAGGCATGGTCAATGCAAAGGAACATGACAGAGAATCAGTGCCTAATTGGCCGTAGACTCGACGTGAGAGAAAATTAATACTAATAAGTTTATCATTATACAAATAATAATAATAATAATAATAATAATAATAATAATAATAATAATAATAACACTGCCAATTTTTAATATTTGGTTATTAGCACTGGTAGCAGCCAATGGCTAATTCATGCTGATGTGGTCAGAATGTATGAAGGTCATATACTAACTCTTCAATATTAAAACAAATAAATATATCACCAAGAAAAAAAATAGTTATTATTCTTAAACATGTCGCAAATTGAAAATTTTCCACAAATACCTCTAATTTAATATTGAACACTCCTATATTATATTAATTATTTTTAATTCTTAATTACTTTATCATGAAAATAACATAATTCTTAATTACTACTGCTACAACCCCCTAATATAATGAAGGGTATAACTAAAATAATGTAATTAACATATCACATAAGTTTATGCTTTTTATAATTTGGATTAAAAGAAGTCTCCTAAAATTTACAAGTTGGGAATTAATTATTAATTATTAATTAACATTTCAAATCCGCGAATGTATTAAACTGCCGATTCATTAGATTAGCTTTCCTAAGCATGAGTCGAGAGGAGCCTAAAGGCAACCTTATTTGGTAGCTGGAGGTGATTTTTAATCCAATACATTGGAATAATTGTGCTTGAAAATTAAATTAATTAGGAAATTTAAACTGCTCCCAAAATTATAATACATTTGTAGCCTGAATGTGTAAATGTACTGTCCCCCCCCCCCCCAAAAAAAAAAAACAATGCAGTTTTTAAATGTTAAGCATTTATAAATCAATAAAAATGCGCGCACGCTCACTTTATTCATCGCCCTAAAAGACTAAAGTATGTCCAGGCCACGTGTCGAATGTTTCTCGTCTTTTTGGCCCTTCTGCTTTTTTATTTTGACTAACGCAGCGCTTATAAAAGAGGTATCAAGAGACTTGAGGCCCAGGGTAAGATACGAGTCAAAAACAACATGATACGACACTCGGTATGGTTCATGGACCACTACAGATTCGCGGATCATCTTGGTGGGCTTGGTTTGCTACACGAGTTTATGTATCTCTCAAAAATTACGCTCGTATATAGTTGACGGTTCAATCTTCATAAATAAATCTCGTCCCCTCGATACATCTGCTAAGCGGATGTGACTTGTTGATTTGATTAATCCTCGTTACTAAAATTGATGGGTTCAGCTGAAATCGCAGATCATGACTTGTCTAAATGATGATTGGTTCCAGCAGTATGTATGTTAAACCCTTCAAATGTGCCCATTGATTCTACAACTGAGCTTGGCAACCGTCCCATCATCTTCTTTATGAAACCTCCATCTAGAATAATATCTTAATCTTTAATTTATAGAGTGCTCTCTCAAATATAGCGATTGGTCTACTAAATTGAAATTTCTTCTCCTTTTGACGTCCCTCGGTTGCAATGACACTAAGGAACTCGATCGTGCCGCATCAAGTGGGTTCTCACTGGAGAGTTACTTTCTTTATTCCCTACATGTCCTGGCTGGAACAAATATCTTCAATCCCCATACAGATAAATTGCATCGCCTGGGCTTCATGCACGGATGCCAAAGTCGGGAAGGGCATCATGTATCGATCGCATGGAAAGTTGAAACATAAACAGACCTAAAACAAACACACCGAAACAACTTCCGTATTCACCTTTTCTCCATGTGCGTCGCTTCACGGGGTGGTCGTTAAATAACAAAACAAAAAAAAAAAAAGAAAAGAAAGGCGCGCGCGCGAGCAAATTAAAAGGTGACTGTCGATAAAGCTAGCTATAATAGAGAAAATTTATGTTGATCGATTGCATGTGCTTCTACTGTAGTACGGAGCAGGCTTCACCCGTCGTGGGGATGGAGGAACTAAGAGAGGCTGCCAAGGTAGGTGAGTTGTCTTAGCTTGATATGTTACTGAATTAAATTATACAGCTTAGCTGTTGCGGTAACATGGACGGACGGTGCAAATTGCAAAATGGTCCCCTATGCACGCACTGGAATATGTGTTGGATACTCTATTTGGGTCATTCGAGTGGATGCCTACCTTACACACAACACAGATTAAAAGCAGAGGAGATAGAGAGAGAGGGGGTATGAAAGGCCCTCGGCATGCATGTATACAAGGCGTCACTAGCCAAACACTGTCTGCATGTGGTGGCGTGAGCGTGATGTTTTTAAATTCTTCCCGATCGGGACCACTTCTCCACGACGCTTCTCTCTTTGTTTTTACTTTTCATCCCTCATCCTAACACATCCATTGATTCTTTCTTACAATCTCCTTTCCGCCCCGTGATTAACCATTCTCTCTCACTCGAGATTTTTCCACGAAGCCCCAGCGTGCTTATATCCCTCTCAGTCTCTCTCATGCATTTTTCTTCTTTTGTCTCCATGTAAAAGTAGGGTTCTAGTGGCGATTATCCCTCAGCCTAAGTAGATGCCACTGCTACAAAGACGCCCCAAGAGAATATAATTATATATTAACGTTCACCCATCACACGGGACAAAAAGGATAACACCGGAAGCACCAAAACTGGCTCCGCAGAATTGTAGAGATGGTCCAAATGTGGCCTGATGAGAAAAAAGAGGGTCCAGAAAAAAAGGGAAGAAGGGGGAGGTGGGGGACCACATCTACTTGTGCCTATATATATACATATATATGCTGTATCCTCCCACGGCTCTTCAATTTTTGCAGAGAGGCCAACAATGTGCCGGCTGCGATAATCTTACGGTGCACCCTCTAGCAGTTGAAGCTGCCAGCATGATCTGAGCTTCCCTTCTCATGTGGCCGCAACAGATCATGCGGCAGTTTCACCTGTTGAACGGAAGCATCCCAACCCTAATTAATTCGCTTTCTCCTATCTGCTCTCACAAACCCTATAAAAGGTTCCGTTTCTGCTTTTTTTCCATCTATCCTCTTCCCTACTTTTTCTTAATCCCGCGCACTCGGTTTCCTTACTCTCTTCCCATATTCTGCCTCGTGCATATATCTGCATTCATCTGTGCTTTGCTTCTGTTCTTTTGTGACTGTTGATTCGCCGTTCACTTGCAATTTCCAGATCTACGGAATACTATTGCGTGTGCCGCTTTAGATTGAATTTTCCATTACTCCCACGCCCACTTTCCACCAAGAACTCGTCAATGCGCTGGCCTTCGTCTTTGGGTAATTTATTTAGTCCGTTTTCTGGATTTCACTGGTCAGCGCGGAATAAGCTATTGCTTTTTTAGTCCATTGATTGATTGATTTCTGGTGGAGTTATATACGCATTACAAATGCACGCACGCTATCATTTCTGGTGGAGTTATGTGAGCAGCGCTTGCTGTAGATCTATTGATAACCGTCCCAGCTGGGACGACATTAAAACGTGTAGGGGATTTATGATGCGATATAGATTGAACAGACTTGCAATTTACTACTTTTCTGCAGGAAGCGTGCCAGAAACTCCGGTTTCTTTCTTCGGGGTGACAGGGGCCGGCATAAAATTTTAACTGAGGAGGCAATGAATTTAATTATAAATTAAAATAACAGGGCTTGTTTGATTCTATTGTTTTTTTTATTTCCAGGATAATTTTATAGAATAAGTTTTTATAACAAATTTTGGAAATGAAAAAACTGTTTAAATCATTATTTTTAAAAAATATATTTAAAATGATGGAATAAAAGGTGAAACGATTATTTATTTTATTAACGTAATTCATGATATTTTCTAATTTTTTTTCTGTATACTTGTTAGTTAAAAAAAAAAAAAAAAACCGTTCATCCTGAACAAACAACAGCAACGGAATGATCTGGGGACATCTTGAATCAGTCAATGACCATTTAGTTGAAATTAATGGTTCATTTAGGTCCTGAACTCGAAGAGAGTTAATTAAGGCTATACAGTGGGAGAAGTTTCCATGGAGCCAAGCCCTACGTTTAGGTAGGCTTCATATACATAGAGCATTGTTTTGTGGGAAAGAAATCTAATTGCGAAAAAAGAATAATTAAGGTTGTTGGATGGGAGCGATGAACCCCTTACAAGCGGATCATCCGTCTTATAATTAGTGAGTTTCGTGGGCGGTGGAAAGTGACATGAACCCCGTAATTGAAGGATGCCATTAATTGATTTTTTTCTTTTTAAGATCTTGAACTTGATATAATATAAATCAGCAACTAAATTACATAAACAACGATTTGTTCTAAAATTAGTATAACCCCGTGCACAATTTACATTATATTGTTGGAGGTTTTAAATTCTTTCCATGTGATCAAAAAAGGAGTTTAAAGAATTTAAAAAAATATGTTATCAAACTACAGTAGCTAGGGACGCTTACATAATGTCTATAGATGTTGATATTAATATTGACGAATGAATAACACTTATTTTTATGGCATTCAAATTAAAATTCTGCACAAATATGTGAATATATGTGTGTGCGTATTTGAATAAAATATTAAAAACAGAAAGACACAAAATTTAATATTGATAAAATCATGTTATATTATATAATGTTGATTTTGATTATGAATCATGCAAACAGTTGTATATTGTCTGTGATTTATATCGTGACATTTATAAATTAAATATTATATCATATGTTATATGATTTATCCGTGTTATAGTAATATATAGATATATGTTCATAAAAATATGTAGATATTGATTCCATAACGGCCGGTCCCTGCAATTTGATGTTTATCTTGCAAGGTTAGAACGAGTCATCGTACTCGCGACTTCAAAAAATTATAGCATAGAGCAGCTAATTGTTAGGTTTTATATTTTACATTCAATATTGACTTTGACCGCGGTTATAACCAACTAGTCATATAAGTTTTTACAATTTCACTTAATTTTAAATTAAGTCTTACAGTTTATTTTATTTTAGTCAAACTCTTATAGTTTAATCTATTATATATATTAACCTCCTAAACGTTAAAGATTAATAATGAATAATTAAATTTTATAAAACAAAAATACTCTTAAAATTTATAAAAAAATCACTTTAATACTTTTATTCAAAATAAAAAATTGACTTAATATATTTTTTACATTTTTATTAATTTTTTTATGAAATTCTATATGTATAAAAATATTTAAAAAGACAATCTAATTATATAAATTTTTGGTTATAAAATTTTTTTAATTAATTCTAAAGTCATATAATCATTTAATAAAAATATAAAAATTTTAATTTTTTAAAGGAAAAATATAAGGATTTTAACTTTAAAAGATTAAAAATTTTAATTGATCAAACTATAAGAGTTTGATTAAAACAAAATAAACTGTAAGAGTCTAATTTAAAATTAAATAAAATTGTAAAGACATATTGATATTTTTTTCTTTAGCATATTATCTTGAAGAATAGGCATGTTGTTGCAGATTTGTGTAAATTTAAATATATGTAAATAAATTTTGTAATGATTTTTAGTCTACAAAATAGCTAGTTGATGCACACAAATATTTACTGTGAGTGTACAGGTTAATATGTAATATATTAGCATGTCAAAGTCAATCCTGCAAGAAATCAATCATAATGACAACTAGGTAATAAAGTTTTCACTTTTATTTAAGTTGAACAAAACTAAGTTCGGATTTGATTTTGTACAAATTGAATCTACATGAATGCACTAAAATTAAAGTTTCAACAACCACAAATAATCAAAACAATCTAAGACGGCTAATTCCTTATTCAATTCATTAAGCATGTAATTATCTAAATAAATTTTTTAATATTAATTTGCTAACCTAGAGTAGTTACACCTCCTCCCTTGAATTAAATATGTTATATTTCTAAGACAAATCCCAAGGAGGCAAAAAGGCACAAGCTTACTCTAATGTAATTATATGGGTCCAATAGGTATATTCTTACCATATTGGCAAGTTAAAATAAATTCTAACTCCACATTAATTAATCTAATGATCTAATTTAGATTTTTCTTTTTCAAGGTAAAACCCAATCCCTGAAATTTACACTCAATGATGGCTAAACATTAAATGGGCAAATAAGTATAAGATTAAGTAAATAAAATTAACATTAAGTCCAAATAAATAATTGAAACATGCTCTAATCCCATAGTCAATTCATAGCTATCCTAGATTAAGAGAAAATTACCACTTATGACTCTAATGACAAAAAATATCAGCAACGTGTACATCAAACTAAAGAGAAGAAGAAGAAGAAATGTTTAAATTGGAGCAATCTTGAATTAAATCCTTAATTTTTTGCCAAACTCAAGATTTTTCAACCCTCTTTTTGGATCTTTTTGCTCAACCTAGCATCCTATAGCTGTTGGAAGTGAAATTTGGTCTAAAATGAGGTCCCAAAACTCTCAAAATGTGCTAAAGATCAAACTTGTAAGCTAAAATTCACGTTTTGCTGCAACAATTATAACCTATGCAAGATTTCTTTTTAGATTTCTCTTATTATATGCAGGTTTTAAAATTTTCATCTTTTAGCCTATAAATTGAGCCTCCTTACATATAATCCAAAATTAATGTTAGAATTAATCTACTAACTTCTAATTACATTTTCACATCTATTCTCACACATAATCATCTACTGAATCAACCATTCTCACACATAATCATCCACTAACTTCTAAAATAAATGACTTTCAATTGTATTAGCAATACCAATAAATTTAATACAATATTAAAAATCATCACTAGCTAGTAGTCTCAACTTTTACATTTAGTTTATACTTTTTTAAGCCTCGCTTTTTCATTTTTCTTTTGTGAGCCGAGAACTTACTCATCAAATCAATTACTAATTACTAATAATTAATTTAATTTGTAATTCTAACTTGCTTACTTACAGAGACACGTTCCACAAGCTTTCAGTTGGCATTAGTTAGTTAAAAGACTCTTCCTTTTCCTGATTGGAAGCAGAGACTGGTCCCTTGCTTGGGAAATTATATCAGACCTTGGATAAAAAAATCATCAAATATATATACACATGATATAAGATACATCGCAAAATTCATTCTTCATAAATTTTAAATAGTACATATAACTCATTTAATTTGTTTAAAATTTATGCAGTACACTATAATACAAGGATCCGTTCACTTCGCGCCAAATACCCGAGCTAATTTTCCCGTGCTTCTTCCGGAAAATAACGTCATTAATTGACAATGACTTGGAACTTCTTTACTCATCAGGCAATTTTTTTCAACCTTTATTAATTAGACTACGAATCTATGGTCTATATAGAACTGGAGGTGACTTATACTTTTATTATTTTTACTTAGTCAACAAAGTTTACTTTATGGCCTATGGGTATCTAAATGTAATATTAATATATTATACACATGAGCAACAAGATGCTGAAACTTTGACAAGTCAAGCATATCTTTGAGAAAGAAAAGTCGTACATGTTGGGGAGAATTGGTTCCCTGACTTTGGCTCGTTGGGGCGATAACCAGGGGAGAGTAAATGGAATCGCTGCTTGTGGAGCCTCATCCATGACAATTAAGAAAATGGGTTATATCTATATTTGTTTTCAAAGCACGTTAGGCATTTTATATTAATAAGTGAACTTTTTTTTTAAATTATTTTTTAAATAAGCAAAAATCTCCATTCATTTTGAATCCATTAATTTTGTCATTTTATATTAACGTAGTATATCCTTTGTTATATCATGAGATAGTTTTTGAGATGTGCTTTTGAAACATGATCTCTCCTCTATTTTTTATATGACCATAATAACTATGATTTTTATACAAAAAGAATTGTATGCAAGTTTTTGATAGATTAAATTTATAAAAGTTGGGTTTCCAAGAAATTTAAAAAAAATAAATTGTAACAATATATTAGATAGACTAAACAACTAATCATATTAATTTTTAATATTAATATAAATGAATTATTTATATAATTTTTTTTCAATATGTCAAACTTTATATTTTTTATTCTTATTATTTAATATATCAAATTTTACGTTATTTAAAATTTTTATACATATCTTTTTCAAACATTTTCAATATGAAGCATTTGTATAATATAAATTATAAATCATAAAAGTCAATGTATTTTTTTTATAATTGTGCATTCAAAATTATTTTTTATTATACATAATTCAAACAACTTCTTATATACCAAATTGACTTTTTTTAAAAAAAATGTATTTACATCTAAATTTTGTTAAAATAACTAATTTTTATTAAAATGACTTTTGCCAAATAAACTTTTAACAAATTGATTTTTGGCCAGTAGAAAACCAAACATGCACCAAGTATCTTCAAGGGCATTGATCAAGTTGGGAGTGTAGTTTCTCCAAAGTCAACATACTCTAACTCTATTGAAATTCTCACATTTAATCAAAGCAACCTCAACATGAAACATCTCATTGCCGACACTGTCAACAAAATCAAGGATCTAGTATTAAGAAATTGGATGATTACTTTCAATCATGTGTTTAGAGATGTTAATAAATGTGTGGATTTCCTCTCCCAACAAGCTTATAATAATAAGTTGTTATTAAGATTTTTGATGATCCACTCTATGAGTGTAGAAATTGTATAATGTCATAAATGGCTTGAACTTTTCCCTTGCACGGTCAGGTGTACCCTTGAATTTTCTTTGGGGAAAAAAACAACAAAGAAAGAGTACGTATGAATGCTTGTATTTTACTTCCTTATATCCTTTTTCTTTTTGGCAAGTATATAGAAGGAGTAGATTCCACCGAGTGCATAAAATATCCCCCCAAAGGCATTAAAAATAAGTAAATAAATCTCTTTCAACTAAATTGCTATATATACAACAGTTAAGGTTCAAATTCCTAACCATTTGCTTAAGTAATGAGAGCCTCAACCACACGCCCCAACTTTAATTGGTTACTTCTTCCTATTTTTAATACTCCTTCCATCCCAATTTATAAGATAATATTGGATAAATTTGGTTGTCCCAAAATATAAGATAATTTGACATACTTTTTTAATACTACCGTTCGAATGGAGAAAGAATTAAAATGATATTGTAATATAAAGATTAAGTATGTATGGATATTTTTAAAAATTTATAATTTTTCTTTAAAAAAGTAAGTTTATAAAGTGATATTATTGAGCTTTATTAGTATGCATAATCTTATCTCAACTTGTTTTATAATTTGGGATGGAGGGATATAAGATAAAGTTAACAAACTTAATTCTTATTAAAAAATGATATAATTTAAAATTGTTTAAAAAAATATGTAACTTCTTAATTTTACCCTTCTTTATAATTAACAACCACGATAAATTGTTGCATCGATGTTAAAATGGTAATAAATAAACTCTTTGCCTTGCATTGAGGACAAAAAAAAATTCAAACTTTGTGTTATATTAAAGATAGATTAAAAGTGAGTATTTCATATCTGATATATACTAAATATTTATAATTAAAAAACATTATTTTTCAAAATCCGTACAACGTATTTCCTTCATTTCAATTAATATACAAGTTATATTTTGGAATATTTTAAATATTCAAAATATAAACTTCTATGCAAAATCCAAGCACTATTAATTCTTTTTTTTTAATTTTACCCACCTTAAATCATCATTAGAGTTATGGTGGAGAAAAGGATGAAGAAAAATATGATTATGTGAGTCACAATTTAAGAAGAGCAATTTTGTAAATTGTTGGTAATTTTTGAGAATATCAAAGAACTGAGTTATTTTAACAAAGTTCACAACTAAAATATAGTTAAAAGTGATTTCCTTTTTTCTATGTGCATACTTCTTGATAGATGAATGGTAATGAAGGTGCTTCCTAATGAGATTATCTCTTTGATAAATCGAAATTTTTGGGGGATTTTACTACCTCTTTTTGTGTACTAGCGAGCAAGAATGTCTGGGATTAGGCCCGTTTTCCGCCAAAAAAAAAATCAGATCTTAACATAAGTATTCACGATTAATTAGAATTGGATCAAGTTAGTGCCCTTTAATGTCACCAAGTTTCCTTTGTTTAGTTCTGTATTTCAGTACCATTCCAAAAAAAGAAAAAAAGGAATTTTTTTAAAAAAAGTCACCAAGTATCTCGTTTGAGTGGTATCTTTTAAACGTAAAGTTGCGGATTCAATTCTTCGTAGTTACGCATATCTGTGAATTATTTTTCTCGGGCGAAGTGTACGTATCTCTGTGAATTATTTTTCTTGGGCGAAGTGAAAAGTAATAAGCTAGGAGAAATATATACAAGAGTACCTGATAATGAACTAATCATTGGAATTATTGGAATATATACATAAGCGGTGCCTCGTGTATGACTGTATGTGTTATTTCCAGCAAGCTAGCAGACTGAAAACAGTAATAATAAATGGCCAAATTAATACTCATGGAGTTGGATATTTATTATTATTTTTCCTGCAATGTATGCGTCGAGGATTAATCATATCGTCAAAAATATCAGGACATTGAAATGAAATCTCCCCCTTGACTCGGAGCTAGTAATTAAACCAATGCATGGCGATTTTCTGATAAAGGAAGGAATTAAATTAAACAAGAAATTAACTATACTTGTGTTGAAATATGGATCAAGAAAGCTTAATCACAGCCGAGACAGCGTACGTAATGAAGGCTTCGTATGCAGCCAACATCATCCTCACAAACTCCTGGTAATCCACCAGCCCATCGCCGTCCAAGTCGGCGATTCTGATCATCTGCTCCAGCTCCTCGTCTGTCACCCTCTCTCCCACAGTTATCATAACACGCCTCAACTGTAAATATGCACAGTCACTTCTCTCCAAATGAAACGGCAAGGGCGGACCCAATTAATTAATTGAGTAAATGTACCTCGGTGGGTGATATATAACCATCTTGATCGATGTCGAACGCCTTGAAAGCTTCTTGGAATTCCCCTTCTGCTTCAGCCTCAGCTTCCTTCATGTTCCAAATCAAGACGTAACCACGTCCATATTATATGATCTTCTACAAACATAGCTAGGCCCTGGGCCCTGGACGAAATTGAAATTTGGAACATTTACAATTTGATATGTACCTTGATTTTGGTAGCCATGAGATTCAAGAACTCTCCGAATTCAATGGTTCCGTTGCCGTCCGTGTCCACCTGGCTGATCATAAATCGCAACTCTTCCTGGGTAGGGTTTTGATCCAATGATCCGATGGCAGTGCCTAGTTCTTCAAGGGTTATACAGCCTAGTTCATGTCAAGAGAAGAGAGGTTCATATATGCAAGGAAAACAAATCACTAAGAGAGTGCGTGCGTGTATATGTATTGCACAGAGGAGAGAGGATGGAAATAGTGGAAGTCATGGATAGAGAAATACCATCTGCATCTTTGTCAAAAAGACGGAAGGCTTCCAGAAACTCAGCAATCTGCTCTTGAGTTAGAGCGTCCTTCATGGTTCATGCTACGAACGAATGGCAGCTCAACGCAGAAATTATGCAAGACCATTTACGTTTACTTCGAGAAAGGAAGGCAGATTCCAATCACATACATGTACGGTATGCGTGCGTACCAAGTCACCAATTGAGGGATTGCCCATTTGACCAGCTACCGTAATCTTCCACCCCATTCAACATGGAACCATTTCGGTCTCTCCCATCCATCTTACTCTCACCTCCTTGTACGGACCCACAGCAGATGCTCGTGCTTCTCCATTTTTTTTTTCCAACGTCCTACTAACGTATTCTATTGATTTAAACACAAATCGCATCAATAATAAAGTCTTCTTCTGACTTGTTGGAATCACGGATTTGCCCTTTGGTAGGAATCGGATCATTATGGCGGAACAACCTGTGGATCCGGTATTATCATGATAATAAAGAGTCGACCAAAATTAGGAATTAATGCAAAATTAATTTATGATTGAATTTTAAAATAGTAATGGTAATTATTTCAATCAGTTTATTCTCTCTATAATGAGGTGAACTAATGTTAATTAGATTTTCTTTCACTGCGGTGGCCTCCCTTCACTATAACTAGAGACGAGTGGTGGAAAAAAGAATTTATATCAAAGTGAACAGTTATTTTTCAATGTTTATTTTTCTTCTCTTTCTCTTCGGTGTATTTGTTGTGCACTTTAGTTTTGAATCTAATAGTCTAAATTTGTATGAGTAATCGGGTAGAATCTGCTATGTTCAGATTTAGTAAAACTTTAAAACGACTCTTTTATTCAATTTATTATTTATTTAATATTCCTTTATCAATAGTTCAACATCCATGTAAGCCTAGGAAATTTGGTCACCGTCGTGATTTTTGTGATTATTAATTACAAACAGTGTAGATGAGGCTGCATAATGTGGAGAACTTAGAGGCGGTCGTGCTAAGCTTTTGGTCCACGACGTGCTGATAGTGATCCGATCCTTGCGAAATTAGCTGCTTGATATTGCATTTGGGGTTGACTATCAAAATGTTGTCAGACCCCTTGATTCAAAGGGACGCTCATTAATTTCTCAGTTCCAATGCCTGTTCCTGTCTGTATCATACACTTCGAGAGAGGCAGGCCTTCGAGGTGGTCGATCTTTGACGACAAAATACTTGGGAGCTCAACCGCTCCTGCTCCTTGTATGGTTGCGATTGTTGGATCTAACATAAAAATCCACCATTGTTTGAGAGCCAAGCTTCATTGTATTCAACTTGAGGGCTAAATAGAGGAAATTTCACGCTATTGCGTTTGCAGTTCTAGACCAGTCCTATACTCGTTAGACTAGGCACATACGCGGAAGACTCTTCCTCTCTACGTTCAAGTTAATCTTGAGATCTAAGTGGGCCTGATATATAGATCTTGGTGGTTTGAATGTCTGAGGGACAGTTTCAATTGTGAACCAGTGAAGAGAAATATTTATCAAGAAGTTTTAAAAAAATTTAAAACTTCTTTGTAAGTTTTTTAGACTGAACTGAAATAAAATTGATGGTTAAAAATGCTAAAATACCTTTCTACAAAATTAATAAAGTAATTTTTTTGGTGAGGCCTGTAAATGTTACATATTAGTCATGTTACATAATTTGTTGTTTCTTTCATGTTAGTTGTAAAAACTTTGAAATGATGTTGCAGCAATAAGTGTGGCAAGTTTATTTTGAAATTCATTAAAATCAATTACATTACTTCATTACTACTTAACTTTACTTGTTAATTACTTATTTGTACTTGTTAATTCCTTAACAATATTTGTTAAATAGTTCATTAGTCAATTTCGTGACTCCATAATCTTAAAAACTTTACTTGTTAGCTTCACAATTTTACTTTTTAATTTGTCAACTTGATTTGTTAACTACTTAACTTAATTTGTGAATCCTTTACAAGACTTATTCACTCAATTTGATCAAAAAGCACCATCATTAGTGGTTATTTTTTTTACTTCACTTATTAATTAACCGATATCAATTGTAAATTACCTGATTTTACCTGTTAATAATCATATTAGTTTAATAATTTTGTGTAAAATATAAAATCATTAGTTGTTAATTTTTTAATTTTACTTATTAATTTATCAATATTAATTGTCAATCATTTTTTTCTTTTGCAGAAGGAAATTTTGGTCTTTTCAAATACCAACTTTTTTTGTCAAAGAAATCTACAGAGAATTTTTATATTTTTTAAAACCTATTGGTAAATATTTCTCTTCCCTGACCTTTAACTAAAAATTTCCCGATGTGTTGCTTGAACCCGGATTTGTAACGAGAATCACGATATGAATATGTTTTGGGGATAACTATATTTAATTAGCGCTTGAAAAAATTCGAATCTGATACAGGATCTCGGATGGATGTATAAAAAACTAAAATCGTTGGTGGGAGTTCACCGTCTCTCGCAGACAAAAATTGATGTTTAGGAATGAACAAAGAATTATTGACAGGAGCACGGGCTAAGAAATATATGTGCTCCAAAATCGAACTGCCAGAAGTGGAGAAGGGAGTGCAATCGAAGACACTTGGGCATGTCGGTTGATCCTAAGGCAATGCCTTGTTCCGAGAGGTATAGGGCTATTTGTTTTCTGTGTTTAAAAGTTGTTTTTTATTTTTAAAAATAGAAAAAAATTAAAATTTTATTTGGATAAATATTTTTCATTTAGTTGTTTTAAAAAATTGTTTTCATTTTTTGTTTTTAAAACCAAGAAAATGAAAATAACTTTAAGTTGTTTTCGTCTTATTTTTTTTATTTCTAAAACATAATACATTTAATTATTAAAAATTATAGTTACTTTGATCAATTTATATTATTAATCACAATCATTAAGTGTCTATACCCATCACTATCAGTCCATTTTTTCAATCTTACAACTATTTTTAAATTGATATAACTAAATGAATTTTCATGTCATTTTATTTTAAAATAATTTTAAAAACTGCATGAAAAAAATTATAAAAATAAAAAATGAAAACATAAACCAAACAGGTGCATGAGATCTTGATTTTTGGACTTTGCTTTGCCTTCACTTCCTCCCAAGAGGCCGAAACATACTGAATTAATTACTGAACATACTCCCTCCGTTTATATTGGTATTTTTTGAAGAGTTAATTATTAAAAAATATAATAAATTGTTAATTTTTGAAAGTGTAATCATTGTCTTTTTTTTAAAGTACCCCTATTAATGAATAAGTTTATATTTATTATAAGTGTTTAATAGGAATAAATATAAAAAGATATGATCAGTTTAAAAGTCATTTAAGAGTGAGATTTTATTAAAAATACTTTATATTTTTATAAGGAAGGAGTGTAAGTTTCTAAATAAACATTTCCTGCTTTTAGATTTAAAAGATGATAAAAAGACACACGTTCTATCCATAGGAGGCCAATATCTTATATTTTGTTCTTGTCGGTGGCGTCTTCTTCGAATTTGGCGCGGTTGAATTATTTTAATCTGGATTTCAATAATTAAGTTTGTTCGTTTCCGCTGAACTATGGGAAATTGAATGCATTTATTCTTAAAAATTATAATTTCTTATCATTTCGACCAACCTAAAATTATATTTCCTCTAATCTTACGTGTAGGAGTTAGTCAGTCAATTTATATAGATTAAAAGAAATTAGGTGAGCTGGTTATTTATAAAAAAACGTGTGCTGATTTTCTTAAAATATTCCTCTTGTTAATAAGCTACATCAGAGAATTATCAGCACAAGTTACATTTAAAATATCTAATTATATGGGTAGTTGAGAAAAAAGAATATGTACGGAAATTGTGCTCATACATTGAAGACACAAACGAGCCGACTGACTAGGTCTCACGGGTGAAAAGAACAAGGGGAGTGATTTCTAAAGCATGGGTTTTATTTTTAATTAAGACTAAAATATAAAAAACCTCCTGAACTTTAAAATAATTATATATAACTCTCTTATTTTTAAAAGCTTAAAATTAACCCCCTTAATTTTTATTTTATTTTTTAAAACCTTTTATTATTAATTATGTTATTTTTTTTATAAGTGTTAAAATATCATTCAACTAAAAAATGTTATTAAATAAAAATATTATATTGTATAATTATTTATAATAAATTTTTTTATATTTTTTGAATAGTTGAGCTATTGATAACAAAAAAAAATTATTATCATTGTATAAAATTTTAAATATTTTAACTATGTGTATTACATTAATCTAATATGAAAAATAAATAAAAATTTATCTTTTACAATAATAAAATTATGCACCATTGATAACAAAAAAAAGGGATAAAACTAATATAAATATACATATTTAAAATTTTATATAGTGATAATAATATTTTTATTATTATCAATATCTCAACTATTTAAAAATATAAAAAATTTATTATAAATAGTTGTATGATATAATATTTTTTAGTTGAATGACATTTTATTCTTCATGAAAAAAATAATATAATTAATAATAGAGAGTTTTGAAAAAAAAAATGAAGAGGTTAATTTTAAATTTTTAGAGGTAAGAAATTATATGTAATTGTATTAAAATTTAGAAAGATTTTATATATTTTAATGTTTAATTAATTAATTGCAGTTTTAAGATGGCATGGCCCAACGGAGGAAGCAATCCATGTGATTTCAAAACACGACAAAGCTTCCCAGTGATTGGTGCCGGTGTTGCAATGTGCAAAGCCAGGAAGGATTTGAAAGGCTAAGTAAGAAGCGGAGGGTCTGCTCAACTCCATACCACAAACAAGGTTTCCCTGGGACCCACCACACCCCACGTTAACCCGTTGTCTTCGGATTGTACTGTTCCTCACGCATCCACAGGCTCAGCTTTCAAAAAGCAACATAAACGAGAAGGCTGGCTAAGCAGACACCACAGCATATTCTCTAAGACTAATTATGTTTCCATCTACTCGAGACAATATCTCCCGCAGATCGCATATAATTATAAAATATCAGTAAATGTTTCTTTTTTAAAAAATAAATAAATATACATATATAGCCCCGCTATCGCAACCGCACCAGCCACCACCTCATCGAAGGCCCCCAACAGATTTATTCACAAGGTAAAAAGGCAATCTTACTATTCTTATTTCACCAACACAACTTACATCTGAGCCACAAGTATCTTGTAGCTTCCAGCACAGTAGAAACACCTTAAGCAGTACACTGGCTTAACCAATCATAAAATACAAAACAAATATTCAACTTCCCATCTACACATACACGGACAGCAAAACAAATTGCTAATAAACCTAAACCACAGAACTCTATGACATAGCAATACAGGAGCCCGCTCCCCGCCCCGCCCAACACACTTGGGAGACTACTGCTACAGCCACCCATTAACTACTTTCCTCTTTGCCATCTGCTGCCCGGAGCGAGCCTAGTTGAACTGGGGCTTGGGTCTGCACCACTTTGGATGACCCATAAACTGATATATCAGTACCTAGAGCCTTCTCTTTCTCAATCTGTTCCTTGATCCAGAAGTATGTAATTCTCAGCCCATCCTGCCATCAGATTTAAGATACTGTGAGTGCGCAGAATTCAATTGGTACTTGTCAGTTTAAATGAGGAAGAAAAAGGGGGGGTTGGTGTTAGGCGAATTTACATAGGATCGGGTCAGCTAGCTATTGAGATTAAAAATATCAAGTCCACAAATCTCATTTCAATTTCATTATATTACCATCTTCCTTGGAAAAGATTAAGGTTCAAATTTGGCAGAAAGAACTGCACTTAAGCGAACAGAGAATCCTTGATGTGACATATGATTATTTACCCCCGCCCAAAAAAGAATATAGGAAAATAATTGAATTGGAAAGCCACCTTCAACTTCATAGTCGGAGCCCATCCAAGTTTCTCTTTAATCAGCGTGTTGTCTGAGTTACGGCCACGAACACCTTCTGGCCCGGGAATGTGATGTATAGGAGTTTTCTTGCTCTCAAAGCTAAGAACAATCTCAGCCATCTCATTCATGCTGACCATCTCATCACTTCCAATGTTCACGGGCTCGCGAAAATCTGATTTTGTCAATCTAAATTCCAAATTCCCAAGTGGAAAAAAAAAGAAGAGCTGAGCGGAAAAAAACATATGAAGTGCATTGAAATATGCTTGACAAAAACTATCTACCAGCTATCCTGTCCTTAATTAATCAATTCAAAATCCTCAGTTTTGAAAAGGTAGAAAATTCTCCTGTGTCCCTCATTTCAATAGCTGTTGACTGAGCTAATCGCATCAAGTTTCTTTCCAAATGCTCCAATTTTGAAACTTGCTAGTCATGTTTCTTTTGAAAAAATTGATATGCTGTTATGGATTACACACACACAACAATAGGTAGATGGATATGCAGATAAGGATTAATCAGCAGGGAATTTACCTAAGTACACCTTCCACGCACTCATCTATGAAAGTGAAAGATCGCGTTTGATGTCCATCCCCCCACATCTCAAATTTATCTGTGGAAGTGATTGCCTTACGACAAAAGGCAGCAGGAGCCTTCTCCCTTCCACCTGTATGGCATAGAAACAAAGAAACAAATTCAAACACCATAAGTTTACAAAATCAAACACGCCCAGCAAAATATCCATGAATGAGACCAAGGCGCAAGACATGCCATTCAGTTATGACATACCCTTCCATGTCCCGAAGGGACCATAAATGTTGTGGAACCTGCCAACGCGACACTCAATTCCAAAATCCTTGTTATAGTGCTTGCATAATTCCTCCGTTGCAAGCTTCTCTAGCCCATATGCATCTTGCGGCTAAACCCAACAAATCAATTAAAAATATTAAGAGCAACCTTCATATGCAACAGAAGAATCATCACAACTGAAAATTGAAATATCACCAACAGACCTCAGCTGGCCAAGCATCAGACTCCTTCAAGCTCACATTAGTTTCCAACTGTTTAAATTCAGGGTAGATACAAGCACTAGAGGCATAAAAAAACCTGGGGTAAAAATGGTTCATGTGAACCATGAATTAAAGTTAACACCTCGACAAACTTTTTATTCAGTGATTAGTCCAAATTGATAAATTCAGGTGTCAATATCCAGGACGGCTAACCTCTTAACTTTGTTAATCCTGGCAGCCTCAAGCATGTTGAAACTAATCATTGTGTTGTTGTACATGATGACAGAATGGTTGGATTGGATAAAGCCCATCCCACCCATATCAGCAGCAAGGTTGAAAACATGGTCAACTCCCTCAGTCACCTTGAGACAGTTATCCATAACCCTCAGATCAACAAGATGGAATTCGTGGCAGAACATGTCTTCAGTCATATGCTCATTTTTCTTCCAGTCAGAAGCAATAATATAATGCCCCTCAGTCTTCAAGCGCCTTGCTATGTGGGAGGCAATAAAACCACCAGCTCCGGTGATGGAAATTCGAAGATTTTCTGATGGCCAGTAAGGTTCTCTCTCAAGATTCTCATAGGTGAATTCACCATACTTAGTTCTTTCAGTACTTCCCATTCTGCAGCGCTTGAATAGGTCAGATATGCGGAATTTGTTGACAATTAGCTTAAAATCAAGGGCTTGTACGATGATATTGAGAAGCAGAATTTGAACTTTTTATCAAGAGGGAAAAAGGGAAAAAGAACTTTAAATACAGCACTACAAAGGGAGAGACATGCAACAAATGGCCTCATGAAAGATGATAATAATAGAATGCAATAGTATAAGGCAGAAACATTTAAACGGTTAACTATTTTTAGGTGTCGAAGTTTTCCCAGAAACGAAATGCGCCCGCCAGATTTGTATTGAAATCAGTTCCCGCAACGAAAAGGAAAAGTTAAAAACTTAAAGACCCGTGGTTCCATATTGCTTGGCTGCAGAAGATTAGCATATCAGGCATAATGAGGAATAAAGTTGCCAGAGAGAAAAAAGGGAAGGAGGGATGGTATGAAACAGAATGGAGAAGATCTATATCGAGGCACGAAAGAGACACTATGACTCTATGAGAGCGAAGAGAAACCGACGAACAGTCGAGCCCTAAATTAGAAGAATGATGTCATGTCAGGGACTGCAAAGGATAGCTCAAAAATCAGAACAATACGCGGGGGGAAAAGAAACAGATTAAGAGGTGAAGCAGAAAACGAATTATGCCGCATACCTGGAAAAAGCAAAATCGGGGATTCGGATGAGAGGCGGGATGAAGGAGAAGATGAATCGAAAGCCATGAGTGTCCACGCCATATATAGAGCGGAGAGGCAGAGCGAGAGAGGAAAGCCTCCCATTATCTTTTTTGTTACTCCATAATAATTGGCTCCGAGTGGGACAGAGCTATAGAGGGGGAGGGCGAGCGCATGTGAAAAAGTAATGTGATCACAGATTTCTCTCTCTCTGAAAAAAATAAAAAAGAAAAAAACACGTTGCAATATGCCTCCTAAAATAATGATGATGATGATAAACAAACAAGGACGTTGAATTATTTTGCCAACAAGAAGGACGTTGAACTTACTTATCAGGTTTTAACCTATCAAATTATCAATTTTTTCTATTAAATAGAGATGTTCTCTTTCTTGCCAATATTTAATAGAGAATAAATAAAAAAATTATAAGAACAGTTTAATGATGTAATTTATAAATTTAAGTTAAAACCAAAAAAAAAAAAATTCTCCCTTCATCTTTCTCTGAAAAAAAAAACATTTTATATATTTATTATAATATAATTGCAATTGCTTTAATTGAATCCGTTTAATCAGATATTTTGGTCATTCACTTGGTAGAAAATGTTTTAACTTGTTTTCTTGTACAATAGAAAAAAGATATAGCCTGCGCTCATCAAGTTTGGAGCCACCCTCACTCTTTATTTCAATTCGAATTGGTCCCAATCGTTTATTTCAATTTAAATCATATTTGAACTGTCCATAGTGGTTAATCAAATTATAAAATTATAAAAAAAATTAATATTAAATTAGATTGCTAGATTAAATTTGTACTACTAATGAACATATTTATTAAAATTTTAATTTTTTTATATTTTTATATTAATGAATATAATATTAACATATTTAAAAATAATTTAAATGAATGGTAAAGATCAATTTCAACTAAAATGGAAGGCCAGGATGGCACTAAATGCAAATCCTAAGAAACATGGTGGGGAAATTGGAGTCACCCTTCAACCATTTTTATTTTAGAAAGTTAACTCTAATCTCTAGAGGACTTTCTAAAAAAATAATTTCTCATGAAGTTCGAGGTAAAGTATTAGTTGTTCTAAAAAAAATTAAAATAAATACAATTTTTTTGTATTGAAGACATTATACGCTCGGTTTAGATTTAAAGATTCAGTTATGAAGAGATTCTAATGACATTAACATGAAATATTTGAAAATTTTATAAAGTTTTGTTTGAGGATATACTTTTCAAGCATTTATGAGAAGTTTAGTATCAATGTCTTATTTGATTTTGTTGTCATTTTTTATTCCACAAACTATATCTCGCAAAACACTTTTTAAAAATGTTTTTTAAGTAAAATGAAATAAAAAATTGTTAAATCATATTAATTTGAAAACAGTCTCAAAGATAACAAAAACTTGATCGAAAATGATGGCTAGAAATAGTTAATAATGGTGGTCTATTGCTCTAATCAGTCAGGGCTAACGGTGATTGTCAGCCAATATGGTTGATGATAGCTAAGAATGGCAATTGGCATTGAATTAAGACTTACATTGATAATTAAGATTGTAAATAGAAATGACTCATGGCAACAATTATTAGTGATAACAATTAATGATGATAGTTGATAATAATAGTTGATGGTGCTTAGTTGGCAATTTTCAACTATGGTTAGCTGGTGGCAGTTGATGGTAACAATTAGTGATGATTTGCAATGGTGACCAATGATCGTGGCAAACGGCAACAATTAATAACCGTGGTCAATGACAATAGTCAATGTGATAATTGATGGGAATTGATAATGACTGCCAACAGTAACTATCGCTTAAGATTAATTTTAAAGGTGATAATGACAGTGACAATAGAAGTTGGAAATCAAAATGCTCTAAAACTTATTGGGAATTTATTTTTTATGTTTTTGGATCTAATGGAAGTAAGCAGCCTACTTTTCAGTTTTGAGAAGTTTTACTTCCCTCTCCTAACGTTTTCACGTAGAGCTCGGATTAGGTAAAATTAAATATCAATTTTGCTATATGGAAATTATTATTGAAAAACAAAGAAGAACACATGAACCAATAAAAATTGGTTCAATTAGTATAAACTTAACTTATAAGATCACGGCAAATCCTATCATTAATGTGGTAATTTTATTAGTTGGTGATTTGTAAGTAATTTTATAGGTGTTTTTTAAAATCCAAAGTACTGTCTTGATTTTCGTGAAACTTTGAGGCCCAACTCATTCGATTTATTTATTTATTTATTTATTTTTGTTATTAGGGAAAAAAAAGGGAAACACATGGAAGAAGGCAAGGAGGCTGAAGTGAATGGAAATGACGAGGAAACTGCTTTGGTTTGGAGGCTGCGCTGGCCCACTGGATTCCAATTGTCAAAATGTTTGAATTACTCTGTCCTCTGGGGCCCTTCCCCGCCCGGTTGGCTATGCTGTTGCGTGGGGTTAACTACCAAAAGCGGGATTGTCAAGGGTCAACTTTCACGCTTTTAATTAATCATTAATCATTAATCATTAATTATTTTATAATGATGATGCGTTTGCTTTCACTGAATTAAGAGCGGCCAGCAGCTTAGTGCCAGGAAGGAACGAGGAAGCCGACACAAGATCAGAAGTTGAGTCCAAAACAAAATTGAATTAATAATAATTAAATTTTCAACAATCTTTCATAAAATACTTACTAAAATATTGATTTAGTTAATTATAAATAAAATATTTAAATTTTAAATGTAACTATCTTTTATTAAGATTTCTATTTTTATTTAAAAAAAAAGTTACTGGAGAACTAATGGCCGTTGATATAATCTTTTGGACTTAATTGTAACCAAGACATGACTTGGATGGTTGATTGGATGAGCCGTAGCCATTTTTTAAGCTAATAAGACGCCGGCGACGCTCAATCATTCTTCGCTGATATGCCTTTCCCCGTCATCCGTCTCATCATTTCATCAGATTTGGTGTGAGTGGCCTAGAGTCAGCAAAACGAGTTGAACCTACATGCTAGCTCATTTAACTCGTATAATTTAACAAGTTGGATTGAAGAAATTGACCTGTTTTTTAAAATGGGTTGGGTTAGCCCAACCCGCAAAAATAACGGGTTAAAACAGGCTGACCCGCGGGCTAACAATATTTTTAAAAAAAATAATTTTTTATTTTTTAATTACATTATATTTTTTTATAAATCTACAACAATGATAATATCTCTTAAATATATAATTTATAACTTTTAAATATGTTTTTTACATTTGAAATATAGTGTAAATCCTTTTTACAATTTGCAAATAAAATTTTTATTATAGTTTATGAAGATGATTTAATAGTTTTATAAAAATGTTTTGAATATATATTATTTATTAATCTCATAAATTCTATTGATTGAAATTATAAATATGAATTTACTAAGAAAAATAATTTGAATTTATATTCAAATTTTCTTTATTAGTGACAAAGATAGCACACTTAGGTGAGAAAATGATTAATAATAAAAATCTAGCAAAATGAATTTGCTTGGTTGAATTCTATATTTATTTTATTTATTTACAAGTTTTTTAATTTCTAATTTACTTTAAAATATGAAATAAATATATATATTTATATTGTATAAATTTTAAATTATTAAAAAAATTTGATAATTTTTTGCGGGCTAGCCCGCGGGTTGACTAGCCCTCTAGAAAATGAGTTGGGTTGGATTTTTCAGCCTGTTTTATCTGGTGGGCTGGCCCAACCCAACCCATAAAACTGTCATCCCGCGCGGGCTGGCCCGCAACCCGTTTGCCCAGTACGAGAGTGACCTTCCTGTTTACTGTTGTTCCACTCGAAATTGTGAAGCCTCTTTTTGCCCACCCGCCCAGCCCGACCCAGTTGCTGTTCTTCACTTTATCCAACTGCAGTTATCATCAAGCATTCATTTGCTCGCAAACTAATTCTCAAATACAAGTAAATACAGAACATTCAGTAGTTATGTGAATAATGATAAAAAATATATATATTAATGAGTATCCTATTATAAATTATCATGCTAATAGTATTGTGAATTCTAACTTCTTAAAATATACAAAAACTTTTATCAACTTTTAAATTTTAAACACAAAAATATTACCATTAAATTAGAGAAAATGTCATCATTTTTTATAGTTGTGGGGGCCAGTTGTACGTTGACGTGGTGGTTATCCTGATCGTTAAAAATAATGACCGTTTTCTTTAACTTAACGTCAAGATTGCAAGCACTCAAAATTTAGAAGTGGAAAGAAGTTTTTACACATTTTGAAAGTTTAAAATTCATGATGCTTTTTATATAATAATTTAAGGTTTAAAATTTTCGTTAATCCTAAAAATGTTAAATATATAATTCAAGAAGGGAGAAGCACTCAACTTAATCTAGTTAAAACTCACCAATTGTAAGCGTTGACAGGAGGATTAGAAGGGGACGCGGCAACGTGGAACCTTCCCAGTTGCAAATTGCTTGTTTTGTCATGTTCCTATTTTTTATTTTTAAAAATCGTTTTGCAAATACAATTTTTAAAATTATTTTTAAAACAAAATAAAAAAATATGTTCAATTTTATTAATTTAAAAATAGTTCTAGAATTAAAAAATTGATTGGTAGTGGTTGTTGGTAATTAATGATGATAGCTCGTGACAAAGATTGATCAAGATATTTATAACATTCAATAATCAAATGTAATGCACTTTGAAAATTAGACAAATAAAATGAAAAAAATTTAAGATATATTTTTTTGTTTTTTAAAAACAAACAACTATTTTTAAAAGAAAAAAAAAGAATAATTTGAAAAACAATTAAATTTAAAATACTTATCTAGATCATTTATTTTTCAAAAATATTTTTTTAAAAAAATGAAAACCAAACAAGCTCTTTATTAGGGTGGCTTTTCCTACCTTCATGGTGTTGTGTGTGTCAAAAGTGTGCGTGTGTCAAAAGTTCCATGTGGACTAAATAAAGGACTCTCCTAATATATACATGTACTAAGGAATAAAGTAGGTTAGCAGAATGAGCTTGGAGGAAAAGTGACCTCATGCATATGAGACAGGTCAACATAAGGCAATCGCAGTTGAAATCAGCCAATTTGTCCCCCTTGCGCATGAGGCAAGTTCAAGAGGTACTGGGTTTCTTTTACCGGATTATTTTTACAAAAATAATTAAATAAATAATTATTTTTAGCTCACCTAAAAACCTCTAATTTTGCTATTTTGAATTTGAACATGAAGCCTTGGTAGTTTTTTGGGCATTAAACCACTTCTGAAAATTGATTTTGTGAATTAATGTTTTAAACGTTTTTGTTTGCTAACGTCTCTAGATTAATGGTGTTTTATACGTGTGTAACTGAAGCATTAATTCGGTGATTATGAGCCAACATTCATGTCTCCATCTTCAGACTATATATAGCCATGAGTGTGGACAGATAAACTCGACCAGCCTCTTGAGTTTTCGGGGTAATTCTCTCCTCCCTTTGCCTCATGCTCTCATGTTCATCTGAGTTCGTTTCTAGTTTCTGCTATTCTGGTTCCTTGCTCTGCAGGAAGTGCTTGTTTAATTCTGGAGAACTTTCGGTCCATCATCTCAGTGTGTCGGAATAATTCTTAAGGACAGTGTCCTTCCAGGCACGACTCAAGTAGCTTGTCATTCATCATTCTTGTCTACACTACCGGTGCCACCAATAATCTTAAGAACTACCCAACCGAATGGCGACTAACAGTGCTAAGAATGTCATACCCGAAGATGTATCCAATGGTTCGATTGGTGATTAGTACGTCCCTGTCGTTGTTGTCGTTCCCCTGCCAAGACCGTTCCTAAACATATCAAAAATAAAAGTCTTTGACGGCAAGAACTTCAAATGCTAGCAGGAGCGAGTCTTCACCATTCTTAACATGCATGGTGTGGCTGCTACTGTTGCTCAATCCAAGCCTCCATGCCCAAAGAGTTGTATGGACTTATGCAAACAAGGTATGCCGACACACTATCATTAACACTTTATTTAATAATTTGTTCGATGTCTACTATGTCTAAAAGAAAGCTTGTAAGATATGGGAGTCTTTAGTGACAAAGTACACTGGTAAGAATGCTGGCAAATAAAAGTTCGTTGTAGGAAACTACTACAAATGAGAGATGACTGAGTCCAATGGTGTCACAAAAGGAAAAAATAGAATATTAAAAGAAATAATGAATGCTTTGTTTGTGAGTTCTTCTGCACCTGATAACTTGTGGGGTGAAACTATTTTGTCTGCATGTTTTTTACAAAATAGGATACCTCATAAGAAAATAAAGAAAATACCTTATGAGTTATGGAAAGTATTTACCCTGTAAGCATGTTATTGGACAAGTCTATGGATTTTAAGCACTTTAAGTTCTCAAGCTCTGGCATCAGAGAACCTGAAAGTCCATTCACTTGAAGAAACAAAGTATCGAGGTTTTGAAGTTTCCCAAGTTTCGATGGTATCTCACCAATCAATCTGTAGTTTGCAGTATCAAATCTGACGAGTTGCGACAAGTTTCCAATATCAGGCGGTATGCCGCGTGTGTAAGTGTTAAAGTATCCAATATAAAGTTCTCGGAGGTTGGTCAAGTTTTTGATCTCCGGCGGTATAGTGCCATTCAGCTCGTTACTGGAAACAACCAAGTATTCCAAATGATCCTAACATCAGTACTCCGACAGGATCTGACCCGAAAAGAAGTTCCCGCCGACATGCAAGTGCCGGAGATTTGGCATTTGAGTCACCATACACAAAAGCGATCCACTCATGTTATTGTTATACATGTCAAGAACTTGAATATTCTTGAGCTGGGAAAATTCAGGAGGGAAAGTGTCATGAAAGACATTGGAATTTTACCTCAGAAGCTAAAGAACACTCGATGCATGCACCACCTGAGAGATTAAGAGTTTAGGCAATTGAACAACTGAGGTTTCTAAAGATGGAACAGTTGAGAGAATGAGAGATTGAGGGATCAAGCTTCAAAGAGAGACAATTAGAAGAAGATAAATAAAAGAATGCATGACTCACTAGTTGCTCAGAAGCAGAAGAGCACTTAATGCATGCACGTTAGAGAGATTGAGAGTTAGGGTGATTGAACAATTAAGCAGAAGAATGCAATGATGAGCGGCTTGTGAAAGACACATGGAAGTCTGGCAGTATAATTTTCATTAATTAAACCTCCCCTTGAGCTGTGTGTTGATGGCGTGTAGCCGTTACTGTAAATGAAGCTGGGTATTGATCATAGAGCTGATAAATAGAGTTTATTGTTTGGAGCTGTGTGTAAAGAGCAGCTTACCTAGAATACTTTTGTTATTTTGATTGATTCATTTCTTTTTCTCCCTCGTTTATTAGTCTCTAGACATTACATAGATATGCACATTGACAAAAAAAATTATAAAAAAAGTTTTGGTGAATTAAATTCCGAAAGCATCTTATGTTTATATAAAAATTTATTTCTCAATAAAACGTGACTTTTTGTTATTAAAAAAAAGAATGTGATTTTTATATTTTGTTCAATGGACAACATATTCTTGGTGAGTTGTGATACAATATAACTTTACTTTTAGTAAATTTTGCCAATCTTTTGTGTATCTAGATAATATTAAAAGTTTTGTTAGGCCCTATTACAATGTTATTTATGACTATGTACACAGTGCAAATCGTTACTTTATATATATATATATATATAGATGAGAAGTTGTTTGGCGAGTAAAAAAGGTGTCTGTATCTTGTTGTCAGACTCTAGTGACCAGATGGTTGCAAAGATGGGTGACCGATGGTCAAGGTATTAAAAATTGAATTAATTATTAAATTAGTCTAAATAGTGATTTAAAGGTTAATGTCTCAGTGATTCAATTGGGAGTTAGACCTAAGTCAAACCAATCATGATTAAAATAACAAAATTTAATTAAAATATATAAAAATATATTTATTTAACCATGAAAAAATATTCAAATAAAAGACATTGATGTTCAAAATATTAATGAAATAAATAAAAAAATCCAACGAATTAAAAGACAAGAAAAAACATATATAGTTACCAAAATACAATCATAAAGTTAAGGAAAGGTAGGATTGGGTATTAGGAATATTAAAATTAAAAAAATAAAGAAATAGTGCAAGTCTTAAGAAAAGTAAGAGGTGTGCATCTACTGGCAATACAAGAAGTCAATCACAGAAGGCTCTCACAGTTATCAATGCTATATTTTTGGAAAAGTAAAATTGACTTCATCTTCCACATTTTGAATTGAGTAAAAAAGGAAGAGAGAAACAGAAACAAGAAGCAGCTCAATGGCAAAGAAGCTCGACAATAAAAAAGCTCAATAAGGAGAAGCAACTCAACACTGAGGTATTCAACTTCAGTTAGTGTAACATCCCAATATAAATTTTAATAGTTAATTTGGGTTAATAGAAATTAAAAAAAATAATTTTAAAAAAAAAATAATTAAAAAATAATAATATTATTAAATTATTATTATAATAAAAAAAAGGTGTAAAAACAAGAAAGAAAGGAAGAAAACGTGAACGCAGCTGCCGCCTCAACAGTAAAATATAATAATAATAAAAAAAGAAGAAGAAAGAAAGAAGAGAGAGAAAATAATTTAAAAAAAATGTGGGACCCACTGAATTTTTATAAAAACTCACCTGTTCCTTCATTTCTTCATTCCTTCTTTCGTGCGTGAGCTTCGGCAGAGAGAGCATCTGTGAGCCAAATTCACCGGTGCAGGGTTTTAAGGTAAGAGTTTTTAATAGGATATTTAGGATGTGATTTTAAGCTTTTCAAGACTAAGTAAGTGTTCTAAAATTTTTTCTCAGTCATCCTTTTTCTTTTGTTTCTGAGTTTGTAGTGGTAGAAAATTTAAGATCTGAAAGAGGGATGAATTTATGTTGAATAAATATGATTTTTGAGGTTGTCAGTAGTATAATAAATATTCTAGAGTATAAATTTATTGATGATCTTTGAATCTGTGGCTTATGGATCAAATTCTAAACTAGATCTAAAAATATATGTTGATTTATTGAGGTTTAGATGATTATTTGGAATGAGAAATGAATTATTATTGCTATAGGATTATGATTCTAAGCTAGAGACTTAATTTTTAATTTTTGAGTATTTTAGGTACGAATTTATGAAATAAAAAGAAAATTTTGATAATAGAAATTAGTTTAGAAGTTGATTTTTAGATTATTAATGTTTATTGATAATTAAAAGAGGAGTTAAAAATTATACTTAATAGTATTGACTCTAGATTTGTATTAAGATTGAGATTAGGAATTATGTTATATTTTTAATTCTATTATTAGAATTATTTTATTAGTTTCAAAAATTGAAACTAATATTTATAAATAATATGTTATTTGTAGATTGTATTACTGGTGAAGATTGTGGTGAGAGAGAAATTTTAAGGAATAATTTATTGAAAAAGCCACAAGGTAACCATGCTTTTAATTTGTGATTTGTGTTACTTCATGTTAATTGGGTGATTATTGAGAAAATTATAAATTTTGTAATATTATATAATTGTGCAATATTATTATGAATTTATTTGATTATTGTGGGAGGTGTTTGGAGACTTGTTATTGTTGTTATATTTATGTGCCACGTGGTACGCCCCTATTGGAGCTCAATAGGTGGTTTGTAAGGACTCGAGCTAATCTACCTTTGGCCGGGTAATTTAGTACCGAGTGAGGGCTACGGCTCGAGGTTAATGGAGGGATATAAGGATGGTTGTTTGTGTGTATTGTAATATTTCTTATATTTGTTGGAATTATATTATTTTTAATTCTCACTTAGTAAGCACACACTTAACTGTTTGTATACACTATCATAAATTGGCTTTGGTTACTGGGACTTTTGAGTCTCATTATGTGGTTAACAATTTTCAGGAGAAGAGCCACGAGTGACACATGGAGGAGTCCCAGAGGCTTAGTGGTATAGATCCACTGTCTCTTTTGGGTATTTAATTTATGATTTATAATGTGTTATATTGCCAATATTAGGGCTTTTTGTTTATTGTCAATTATATGAATATATAAATGTAATCATGTCTTTCAAACTATTTCTATTTTTGGTACAATTTGGATGACTGTAATTTTAATATTTGGTTTACTTTGAATCGGTTAAAATGGCATGATTATAAGGCTAAATAACTGGCTTGTGTTGAAAATTGACTAAATTGCTTATTTTACTTGTTGGGAGTATAAGGATGGATAAATGTGATTTAGTTTACTTGTTGGGAGTATAAGGATGGACAAATGTGATTTAGCCTAATGGCATGTGGGAGGTAAAAATTTATCTGAAATGTTAATTATAAAATATTTTATATTGAAATTATTGATATAAAAATGTGTTGGGTGGCTGTAACCCAACTATGGTTGAGTTAAATTATTAAAAAAAAAAAATTTTTGGTGTGTTACAGTTAGGCTGATAGCAAGAAGAGATGGAGATTCAAGGTTGACGACAAGGTTAGGGATCTAAAGAGGTAAAGATTGAACTCCAAGCTTTAGATACAGGCATTCATGCTTTTGCTTTTTTCCCTCCTTTAAAAACCCACAAAACTACATCGTTTTGAGGGTATTTTAGGCAAAAATTAATCCAACTAACCCATCCACCCAAGTTATTTTAGGTTAACCTAGGATTGGGCGGGTCACTTCTAAAATGGTTCAATAGAAAATGTGGATAGAAAAGGAGGCCAGTTCACTAATTCACTAAAGGAACTGCTCAGTCTAATTCAGTTTTTCATTTCATATTCACGATCAACCATCCGCTATTACTAGTGATGATATTTTTTGGCAAATTTTTTTTATTATAATTAAAGACCATGGTCTTTAAGTTGAATTTTACTATTTCAAGGGTCTAAATTGTAATTACAAACTTCTATGTTCCTTATCTTTTATTTTCCTTATCAAATTCATAATGAGGTTATTAAAACTAGTCGAGATAGCAAGTATTATGAGATTGAATTTAAGGGAAAGTTAAGGCATTGCTTGGTTTGGATAAAAGAACCTTAATAGGATGAAAATACAAGTAAAAAAGGAATTAAATGGAAAAAATAATTTTTAAAAAAAATAATTTTTTTTGGTTTATTAAAAAAAGAAATTTATTAAAAAAATTGATATACGAATAAGCAACACACAAAACAAGAAAAGCAACGTTTTGTGAAGAGATATCCAATAGAATAGAAATGAAAAAATTGAATGGGATAAATAACTTTTAAAAACCTAGAATTACCCTCGAAATAAATGTATGAGAAACTATTTTCGATGTGAGAGTATAATTTTGGAAACAGCTGCATGGCATAGCGGCATCCCATGGATTAAATAATGGAAAAATGTTTGCAGGACTGAAGGAAGTCAATGACCTAGCTAAATAATCCATACCAAATGAATCTTCCTGTTTTTACTTATAACCCTCAAAATAATAATTAAGGAAAAACCTAATTTTCAATCATTTTATTTGTAATGTAAAGAAAAATTGATATCATTTTATTTTTACGTGTGTTTTTTTTTTTTAAAGGAAAATCATACTAAGATCCCAAGCAAAGATTCTAATTACCAGAAATCTCCCTTCTTCTCATCTACCTCTATCTCTCATTACAAATGGAACCCAGAGCAAAGAATTACGTCCCTGCAATATCAGTCAACCTAGATCCATCCTACAGAAGAATATTCTTATATATGCTCCGGCGATGGATGTTGGATAGCATGAAATCCAAGCACAGCATGTCAGGAAACACGTGATGAACTTCAACCTGCCAATCTCTTCTCATCTTCCCCTCTCACCATCAAGCTTCAAAACTTGACCATCATGCCATCCTTCTGATACTTCACAAACTCATCATTTGAATCCAGGGCCTTTAATTCGCTCGACTCTCTCCAGCGAGAAATTTTCCCCGCAAGTGAGCTGACTAATTTATCCAAATTTACCTTTAATTCCTCTGACAACATCCAAAATCTCTCTTAACTTCAGTTTCAAGAGGGTGGCAGACACCGCCGAGCCTGACGGCAGGACCGGATCGCCTTGAAGGTCGGTGATCCAATCGACAGCCATTGCGTCACCGCAGATGTGAGCATTTGCCTGGACGACGGCCAGATGACTAGGATGTGCGATATAGGCGTCAAAGTCTGGTTTGGAGTTGTAGCGACTATGGCATATGTGAGTGAAATTGAGAGTGGAGGATTTGATTCAAAGCATAGGAGCTGCAGTGACGTGAACAAACTCTTTGAGGAGGCTGAGAGAATTTATTCGGTCGATCTTGGCCGAGGCATGTGAGGGTTCCTCGGTGTCTTTTACATTGAAGAGGACGACGTGCTCGATCATACGGGGTAGTCAATTTGGCGTTAGTGGAGTCATAAAATTATTGATTTATCCTAATGCTTTGCGGGGACATGCCTCTTATTTATTTATTTGGTGATTAGGATTAACCTCATAATGCATGCCATATTTTCTTCCTAATACAGCAACAGGAGCTTTTTTTTTTTTTTGAAAAAAAACATTTTAATAAATACATATCAAAACCTATTTGTAATGAAGCCTTTGGAACTTTATGATTATTTTTACCTTCCGTTAGACTTTTCAATAATTAAAATTAGAATATTATGTGACATCCCAGCGTGATTTTTTTTTTAATTTTATTTTTTACCTAAACGCGCATCTTGTTCCCACTTTTGAATTATTCCTCAGATCAATATCCGATATGCCCCCATATGATATAATGAGATGACGAGATATCTCCCTGGCAAGTAGCAATAGCAGAGCCGGCGCACGATAGGAAGAGGATTCCAAAAAGCAAGGTGGGCGAACAACATGGATAGGGTGTTTTCGGTGGATGAAATATCCGATCAGTTCTGGTCGCCGCCGATGTCCACCGGAACCCATGAACCCTCCAAGATGAACCGCAGCGCCTCCGAGTGGGCCTTCCAGCGCTTCCTTCAGGAAGCTTCTGTTCCCTCCCCGACCTCTCCGGCCTCTTCTTCCTTTCCTCCTCACCGTAACGATGACCCTTCGCTTCATATCAAGGATCAACCTAAACAGGATCCCGCTCTGAATACGGGGGTCACGCCACTGCAGCCCAATGTGCCTTCTCCCGCTCCTTCTATTCCTAAAATTCCCGTCAATTCCGATGACTACCAGGCTTACCTCAAGACCAAACTCAATCTCGCCTGTGCGGCCGTCGCATTGTCTCGGGTAATTATCCCCCCCTCTTTCTTTTGTAATTGCATGTACATCGCTGGAAGCATTCGGGGAAACCAATTGGAAAATCTGCGGCGGCTGAAAATAATATGATTTTATTGGATCTGGCTTGTTTGATATTTTTTTTTTATGCTTTTATCTATCGTTGTCCAGTCTGTGTGCTAGGATAAATTTTAAATCCGAAATTCGGATGGAAATATTTCATACTTAAACTTATTTGGATGATTTTAAAACAGCTGATCATCCCGCTGCTGTTCTGGTTTTCGGTATCTTGAGTTTTACTGCAGAATCAACATTCCTGAACTAGGGAAATTAGTGGATTTGCGCACAGAAATACAACTTTAACTTCGAACCCATTTATGGTTGTAATGATTTTTTCCCTAGATCAATAAAAGTATACTTTTGCTTTCCAGTTGGTGCACTTCAAAGCCAAAAAAAAAAAAAAAAGACTGCATCTCCTTTGGTAGGCAATAGTTAATTTTCAACTTTTACAATATTTCTTTGTTAACTCCCCCCCAACCCCGGCGGTCTGGGGCCCCTCCCTTCACATGCTTTGGATATCGAAGCGCATAATTCCTTTTGCATGGGTAAAGGAAATTCTTATATTCCTTTCATCTATTCTACAACCAACACAAGATGTTTGGTTTTCTTTTGATGCAACTACTTTTGTGTGATAATTTCCTTTTGACTACTTTGTTTATTTTGATTTTAGACTTCTGCATTCCAATCTTAGAAATTGATTTTAGTTTCATATGTTTTTCCTCTACATTTTATGTTTGTTACTATGTGTCCTTCTATGGTAGTCGCATTTCCAAGTTTACATCTATCAACCAGAAGAAAATATAGCATCTTTATTGTATCTAATTTACAAATTTTACTTAAAATTTCATTCCCTTCCCTACTTCCCCCTGGGGTGTGATGATAAGGTCAGAATCTAATGTTTTCTTCTAATCATAGCAACAGGGATCTTTAGGCAAAGCTCAAGATTCAGCTCCTTTTGTTGACAGTGGATCACAGGCTTCTGATTCTTCTCAAGTCGGACCTCAGGCTACTTTTAAAGGTTTGATTTGGTAAATGTATGTAGATGTGTTTATGAAAGTTTATGTGTATATGAACGAATAATTGAAGGTTTAAGAAGTAGATTACATTCATGAAATAACTTCATGTCAATATTGGCTGATAGAAGAGCAGGTTGATACAGAAATTAAAAGAGATCATTTGCTACATGACTACTGTAAATGCATCACTCAACTATAATATTATGTTCCACCTCTTTTTTTCTTGATCCTCCTGGTTTTTGCATGAGCAGCTTTAGAGGTTGAATTTTGTCTCTCCACAGTCCAAATGTGAGCAATACCGTTTGAATTATGTTTTTGCTGTCTATATTTCAGGATCTGGTATATCTGGTCCATATGGAAGTGATCCATCTAAATTACTAGATAAAGATACGAAAGCACCAGTTGGAATTCCTTCCTTACCTGTGATCCAAAAGAAGCCTGCTATTGCAAACAAGCCAACAACAAGTGGATCCTCAAGGGAGCTGTCGGATGATGATGATGTTGAGGGAGAAACGGAGATGACTGAAAATATGGACCCTGCTGATGCAAAACGAGTAAGGAGGTAATGATGGTTTTGGAATTACTGAGTTAAGTATGGGAAATGTCAGTGCTTGTTGTATGTACGTGCACTCAGGAGTTACATGGCCTGACTTCAATTTTTTGCGGTATAACATTCACAGGGACATCAGTATTTTGTGAAGAAAAAGTTATGCAAGTGTCCGTTGATCTTAAAATTGTTATACCCCTAGGAAGTTATCCCGTAAACAACAACAAAAATAACAAGCTTTATCTCACTAAATGGGGTCGTCTTCATGGGTTGCACTACCCCACACATTGTGTTCTATCGTTTACCAAACCTTTAGGAATGTCATCCCATAATTAGACAAAATACCTTCTCATATTGGAGGTTAAGCTTCAAGGATCTGGAAATATCTTTTAAAAACAGATTGTTTTCTATCTTTGTTGATTGTAAGTCAGTGTCAAACTTAGACAACTTCTGCTTTGTTTAATCAATTGCCCAGTGCAATGTATCTTTCAGGATGCTTTCCAATAGGGAATCTGCTAGGCGTTCAAGAAGGAGAAAGCAGGCTCATTTAACTGAGCTCGAGACACAGGTGCATACATTCTCTTTTGGATCTAACCTTTTTTGCAACCCCTCTTTCTGTTATTTCTCCCAACGATTTGTTATACTTGCTAAACTAATATTTTATCTGTAGGTTTCTCAATTAAGAGTTGAAAATTCATCCTTGTTAAAGCGTCTTACTGATGTAAGCCATAAGTACAATGAATCTGGTGTTGACAACAGAGTATTAAAAGCTGACATTGAAACATTGAGAGCAAAGGTAAAAAGCCTTCCTTGCTTTTTATAATTAGTTCCAGTGATAGCAAAGCCTACTAGTTCTTGTTAGTTAAGTACCCGTGTTATGGTTGGCCTGGCAAACTAAAATTGGAGCCAATTAGGGTGGTTTCCTTCATAGTCAGAAGCTTAGTTAAAGGAAAGGGAAATTGGTTCATGTCTATTTCACATGGATATGGCATGTTTCATTTCCTTCCATGCCCTCCTTTTATCAGGTGAAGATGGCTGAAGAGACTGTCAAAAGAATTACTGGATTGAACCCAATGTTTCATGCCATGTCCGAGATATCATCAATGGGTATCTCTTCATTTGATGGGAGCCCTCCAGACACGTCAGCAGATGCAGCTGTTCCTGTGCAAGATGATCCAATCCATCACTTTTATCAACCTTCGAATACTCCTTTGTCCAGTCATGATCTGGGAGTGAACAATGGATTGGGGGATGTTTGTTCAAATGAAAATGGTCAGCTGAGCAGGGCAGCTGTGGTAGCCGGGAACAGGATGGGACAAACAGCTTCCCTTCAGCGGGTGGCTAGCTTGGAACATCTGCAGAAGAGAATTTGTGGTGGTGCAGATTCATCTGGACCTTCTTCCAGTGGAGATCATTAGTCAATTATTGTTTGAGAAAGTTCAGAAACAACTTGTATTTTGGAGGTAGACTTATTCATCTTTGACCGCATCAGTCTGTTGTTCGGGATATAGCCCATTGTGTTCCAGACCATATGTACAGCTGATGGAGCTGCATGCAAATCTGATGTAGTTAAATTTGATGGAGTCAGAATGAATAGTGGTAGATTAGCATCGCTAACGCAAAATGGGGATTATTATATCTTCCGGTGAATTGATGTCGCATTGTTGCGGTCACCAAGGCTGCAAGGAGAAGTTGGCACCATGAGCCACCAATGATTTATAAATTACCTTATGTTGCTTAGGGAACGCACCAATTATCTCCTGTTTATATATGGAGTGTCATTCAATTCATACCCCAGACCCATAAGAAAAAAGCTAGTAGTTTATTATTTCTGTGTCTTCGCATGGTAAGATCTAAATGGAAAAATATCGGATCAGCTGTTACATCTGCTGGCTTTTCCAACGTGTCACGCGCGCCAAAGTTCCCAATTTTCTTTTCTTTTTTTTTGATAAGAAATAGATGAGCCTAAACTCTAGACTCATTTACAGTACAAGTGCTATCCATGCAACGTCTAAGACTCTCCGTGGGAAAGCTAAGAATGTGCAATCCAGGCCACGCATCAAGAGCTTGTTTCGCCAAATGATCTGCAGCAACATTTGCATCACGAGAAATTTTCTATATATGATACCGATATTTGAAAATTAGTTTCTACGAAAAGATATCATGAATTGAAACAAAGCGACCCCAGACAGCTTGAATCTGTAATTCAACGACGTTTATTGGCAAAACTGAATGGAGTTGCCCACGCGTTCAGACCCACTTCACGTTTGATGGGGTTTTCATCACTTGTTTAGTTATACAAGGGGTTTTTCTTTAACTAGTTGGGCTTAGAAGTCAGTGAAAACATGAAAATAGAAGGCTTAGCTTTATGAGGGCCGCAGAACCTCGGGAAACTAGTTTACTAACCAATGCTTCCGCCGGAAGCAAGGGAGACAAGAATTTAAAACTATTTTTAACGACTCTTTTCACCAACTTGCAGGTTATGGGGTGTAGAATTCGTGCACAACAAATTTCCTTTACAAATCTTACCACTGTTATCTGTACAAGTACCAAAGCAATCACCCAAAATGTCATAACAAGATATAAATCACTACTCTCGAGATATTGAACCACCTAATTCTGAATATTCTGGATCTGACAAATGCCAAGTACTCATTATTAGTCTTGGTTAGAATCCTAAGATGGACGAAGCAAAATCTCAGCTCGAGTCTCTGCAAACTTATCAATGCCACCTGCTGCCTCACCAAAATCATTTCTTGCCACCATTTCATCTCAATTGCTCGATAATTTGCAAATTTTTATCAGAATGGCCTCCGTGCAGAGAAAGCTTGCCAAAACAACGACATGCTTAGCAGAGGACTCCTAATGGTAAACAAAAATGCAATGTTGCTAGACTACCCCAACATAAAAATCCATATACCATCGCTGCTCCCACCAAAACAATCACGTTGCTCCAGAACTCACGGTAGCGCCACCATCTCTTAACCCCTGAAGGCATAGATGCAAAGTTCTTTGCACGCCATCTGCAACTATTTTTAACCTACCTTGACTCATATCTGCTGTTGAGCTCCCATTCAGTTCCACTGCTCGTACCACTCTTTGTTTACATTTTTCCCAATCATCATGATGCAACCAGCAAGCCCTACCTCCATGGCTTCCATCCATGCCAAGAAAAGTCACATTAGAACTTTCACCAAATGAATATCTCAACCTTACAGAAACACAATATGGCAACCAAGCAGCACCACCAGCAGCATTGATGCGAGGGATATGTGCAGGATCAAGAACAACAGTCAGGGCAAAATCAACAGAATTATGAGGTCGATTATAATGGATGTTGCTTCTGAATGCAGATGAGTTTTCAGAGTTCTCATCCATATTCAGCCCAGCATGGTTTTCAAGACATAATTCAATCCGTGGTTTTTGAGCTGGAGTGGCATCTCCAACTTGTGCTTGGGTTAATCCCTTTTTCCAAGCTATTAATTTCAAAAATTCTCTGAGAACTGATACAGGTAAGGTGAGAAGTGTTATGAATGAAGCAACACGAGAGGCATCATAAGGCTCTGATGCAACTCGACGGCTGAAGTAATCACATATTTCACTTATTTCAGATTGACTCAATTCCTCTTGTGCAGTGTTTGAGTTTTGCTGCTGCTGCTGCTGTTGATGATGGAAGCGCTTCACACTCAAAACCTGAAGAAGAAGCTGAACACGATGGACACTAACAGCAAACACATAACCCCTGCCAAGCACACACAATAAAGGGTCTGTTTTATGTCTGAAATTACAGAAGCAAGATGCACCAAGGGATATAAAGTTGTGGATAATTAGTGGCTAATAAGTCATTATATATAAATACGCATGCTGTTTACTAACATAGAAAATTGATTTGAAATCATTCACAGAAACAAGCTTGAATAACAATAAAATTTAAAAAAAAAAAAAGGCATTTCACATTCCCTCATTTAAATTTAAAAATTAACAGGGCACTAGAAAACACGAGGCTAAATCATATGAGCAGAACACAAATAAAGAATGATTTTAAAAATAGAAAGAAAAGGCACATGGATAAAGAATAAGTGCAAAAGGGCATTAATCTTGAATTTCATCCCCCCGGCTTATCTTTTTTTCCCAAGTTCAAAAAGGGATATAGGTGACAGACTGTAATAAGAGTTTTGATTACAACTTACCCAACAAAAAACCGCAATGCAGGCTGCTCTGGATCCAAGTTCAAAAGTGCTCCTTCATTTTCCTTCAAAATGGATCCTAGAATCTCCTTCAGAAGATCTGGTAACTGAGCAAAAAGCCATAGCACCCCAAGATACTTGAGAATACCTCTCAAAACCTTCTTAAGAGCAACAAGGGGAACCCAACCACCACCATACCCTCCATCATCACCAAGGCCAATTATGGCTGTGTTTAGCTCACCTCTAACATGCGCAGGGACAGCTGTTCCTGGTGATCTCCGTAAGGAGACAGCTGATGTCATCATAGCTAAGTTTGAAGATCCTGCTAAAGCATTTCCCACACGATTTAAACCAGCTGCTTGATTTCCCGCTCTAGACATCACAGCAGAAGTAGGAAGGTTAATTCTACTTCCATTTCCAGCAACAGATAATTGGGACCCAGAACTTGAGTTTGGATTATTAGAACTTGCCAAACCACCAGCATGTTGTCCAACGAAACTAGGATCCAAACCGTTCAATTCTTGGGCAACATGTTCCATGATGAATGGCCGAAACTGAGGACATGGCAATGATCCACCAGAAGGACGTCCCTCTTTTGGTGGTGTTGCAGGCTGCAACCAGACCTGATCTCCAGCAAAGCAACGCATATCAACTGCAAACTGTTTCCGATATATAATTCGTATCCAGTAGGGACCACGTAACACAACAGAGACATCAATGGGCAACAGTGAACTCGGAGCAATGCCTGGACCGCCACGCCCCGCAGCAGCTAGCATAGCAAGGCTTTGATTATTGAGAGATCCACTAGCAGTGGATGCGATAATATTTCCTCCAGAAGCAGAAGAAGCCTGGACAACATTTGTAGTTGAACTACCAAGCAGAAGTCCCTGTGGCGGTAAATAACCAGTCTGTTTAGGAATAGAAGATAGGGCTGCCGCAATCCCAGGAACCCCTGGAACAGGACCAGCTCGTGCTGGCCTGGTTGCAGCTGTCAAGGCATGTAAGGGCCCCGCAGTGAGCCGAATGCAATCTAAAAGTGATGAAACTTCAGCTCCATTTATAAAATCTTCCAGAAACTGTGCATGACAATAGCATCAGATATCATAAATATATATTCCCAGGAGTTGTTTCTGCAGGTATGGATAGGGCGAGAAGAAGCAAGCATCTTTGATGTATATGGGCAAAAAACAGATTCACATTATGTTAACTGGTTTCCTAGCATAATAAATATCAGATAAGGGAATTGCCATAAAACATTACCGCTTAACATTGGTAAAAAATTCTCAATATTATATTGCAGAACTTAAGATCCGAGGAAGTTTGACCTTTTGACCATCAACAATTTTCAACAGATAGAAACCAATAATGAACTCAATCCAACGCATTCTTTAGTTTTCAATGCGCAAAGAGCAGATAGAGCAGAAGAAAATTATTCCAGCAACTTAATTGGTATAAAATGGACCCTTCAGCAAGGATAACAAATACTCTTGCACAATCAAATGGATTAATTCCCATGAAAGGGAACAAGACCCAACAAACAAAACAGCAATAGATTAAACAATAAATACAAAAATAATTATCAGAGCCAAAGAACATGACAAGGTAGCATACCAATCATATATTCTTAGTATCACACATGCAACGATAACCAACACTAAAACACAGTACATATAGAAAGAACAAACAAAAAATCAGTTAAAAGAGAAATCGACAAACCTTGGTATGAGGCCAAAGTTGATCAGGGGATACATGCATTGTGCAACCCTCTTTACCTGATTCCCACTCAACAACAAAACGAGCAAGAACACCTGAACCAAAGCTAAACCATAAGCTCATTAACCCCACTGCCTCAATTCTAAACGTTCTTTTCATCTGTTCCAATAGCTTATCTGCAGTATCTGAAGCAACTTTGGCAACAGATGCTTTGGCATTAGAAACTGTCATGCCTTCTTCTGGTTTCTCATCTGATCTTACACCAAGCAATTTCCTCATGCCAAGAGCAAACGTTCTTGCATTGGCAAGCCTTTGGATATCAGCCACTAATTTCTTTATACTATCTACCTCCACAGATTGATAACTCAAAACAACACCATCTGGATCATAGTGTATATGTGAATCTATGTCAGATGTATTAGCTATCCGAACACCTGATCCCCAAGGTGTGCTACTACTCCCTTTTTGAAGCTCCCACAAATCCCTAAAGTGCTGGTCACTTATTTTAACATCCCAATGCATGCAACCTGGTCTGCCAAGTCGCAAGCATATATGTTGCCATGAATCACCCCCTCTGGCAGATGGGAGTCGGAACCATATGTTAGATGAAGCACTCCTTAAACCCACTTCTTCAACGTATGGAATGTCTAATGCTTCCATCTGACTGGTTAGTCTAGCATGCTTGATGCAAAGTGAACAGTGCCTGACCACATGAAGAAGGGCCGCTATGTAAATGCTAGATGGAACATTCCCTTTATTTGCTTCCATGATCAAATTTCCATAACCGTATACTTCAGTTTTAGGTATCATTTCAGTTGATGTAAGCACTTGATGCAAAGAAGACTGAGAACAAGGTGAGTCTGAAATCTTTCTTCTCTTACAGATTACAGAGCCGTTTTCAAGACCTTGAAGGGATGGAATCAAACTCAGCATATCTGAAGCTGTTCGCTTTCGAGATCTCTTGTCATTTTTGGAAAAAATATCATGATTGGTGCAATCATTCACCATGGATTCCATTGCTTGAGCTGCAAGGATGCACCAATCAAATCAAATATGGCCAAAAACAAACATGACAAAAGTGAACACACAAAGAAAGTGTCTTACATACGGGAGTTGCCGCACATGAACCAGATCCAGCAACCCTGAGTGATCCAACTGGAGGCCCATTTGGTGAATTACGAGGTCCATCAGGCTTGGAATTAGGTGTAGAGATTCGAGAGCCAGCTGGTCGAGGAGGAGATAAAAGTTGTGATGATTGATTTACACATAAAGTATCATTACTGTTATCACTCAGGACTCTTAGTTGATCTTCATCCATAGAAGTACACGAACCATTATCAACTGAAGGTGGCGATCTAAGAGAAGCCAGATTTTGTTCAGATTTTGAAGCAGATAGCTTTTTCCCAGTTGTACTCCATCCTTGACCGGTGGAAAGCAAGCCCATGGAGCTAGACTGAACTGGGCCCTTGACACTACTAGATGAGTACATGGAACCATAATAATGGGAGGCAACGCCAGAAGCATTTGCAACATTATTAATCTGTGATATATGCATGCCCCCTTCCCACTTTGGAGAAGAGGTTCCACCTTTTATACCATGGAGATTCATTGGGACAGAACCATAATGAGTAGAAGCAGAAGTGTTCAGGGATGAGGCAAAATTTTGAACAGAGTGTGGAAGCGCAGAAGACCCTTTCTCCTGTCCGAACACTTCATCAACAAGTGATGCAAAACCTGATAACTGACACCCTGCATTTTGCAATGAACTCTCAGGACCAACATCCAAAAGAAACTCATGCTCAGAGGTTTGAATTGGGCCAGCAGCATTAGGCAAAAAGGGGCACAATTTTCGCCTTTCAACCAGGCTTAAATTCATTTCATCCTCCAGCATCTGCATCTGTCCTATATCAATATTCTTAATCCGCAGCACATGATTCAAGTCACCAGATGAAGGATCTTTCCCAGATGAGTCTGGCTGAGTCTCTAGCAACTTAAACAGGGGTTTAAAATCCTTATCAAGTTGCATGACCAGAAGGTAAGAGCTTCCAGAGTCAGGAAATCCCATGAGTAGCATAGCTGAACCATTTATAATGCTCTTGGGTATTTTCACTGTACTCAAACCATGCTCATACACCTGCAAGCAAATCACATAAGCCATAGGCCACAGGAAAACCATATTATGTACGCTCAACTAAAAAGACAGTCCAAATTCGTTAAATATATGTGCATGTATATATATTATCTTAGGTTCTTTGTTATTAAAGGCCAGAGAATAGTAGCATACCTCTAGGCATAAAATTCTTCCAATAGATGCATACAGGTGCAATAAACTTTTGCTTCTCAAGCTAATGAAGACCTCAGCTGCAGTCATGGTTCCTTGATTTAACACCTCTTCACATTCTGACAGAGCCAACGGAGCAACTATATTCCATGATGATTGAAGAAGGAAGCGACCATTCCTGAATAACAAAACAAATGAAAGTCAAGTGCATACAGAATTTATCACCTTGGGAATCAAGACTAAAATTCACAGTAAGCATTATCAAAAGCCTATAAACATAGTTATCCATCACTTCACTTATTCTTTGAACAACAACCATGCTTCACATTTGAACAAGATGACTACATAGGAAAATAAATATGGACAAGAACACAAAAGGCACCTGATATTAATCCCAAGAGTAAAAAATGATGAGCCATATGCACGCACACGCAATACCTCCTGCCCCACAGCGTCCTTACTGCCCTTATCATCTTTCTGCAGGCAGAAACAAGCCTAACTCTTAAAAGCCCTCACGAAATTGAGCAAGTAATAAGACAAGGCATAATATTACACCACAAAGACATAAAAAAATGCAGACATAACTGAAATCATAAAAACTTGCAATTGCAGTTTGCATGGCATGTCAAAAAGTACAAGCATAGTTTACTAAAAGTCTAAAACCAGACATATCAACACAGAAACACATATTTAACAGACAACCCAGAAAGATAAGCACATATGACTGGAACTAATTTAAAGTCCTTTACTGTAACTTATAGGAAACATCCCTCGGCCAAAATTGATAGGTTACGTGTAGCATATATGAAATTCACATGAAAATCAATGTAAAAGATCTTATCATCAAACATAAGATATTCCCCAAATGAACTACGACAAAGCAGAGCAGGTGAGGTGTGAAGATCAGATTTTAAAACAAGCTACACGTGCAGGCTTATGATCATAATGCTGACTAGAAGAACAACCACAACCCTTCACACCTTCAGCATATATTTCTCCCAAACGGATTAAACCATAATGGGGCAACAACAAAAAGTAGCATATAAAGTAGAACCTGAAGAAGGCTGTACATAATAAAATTACCTAAAACAACATAGCAATGTGACACGACAAACAAAATTCCCCTCAATAAGGAAACAAACATATGAAAGAAATAAAGGAAAGTTTATAAACACGCTTGATGAGAAGAAATCCACAATGAAGTGTAAACTAACCAGTTTATATTCAGTATCGAGTTCACCCATACAAGACTGAAGCACAACATCATCTGCTGTTCGGCAGACCTGAACATTTTTAGCTAGCTCTTTCTTAATTTCCAGAAGACGTGTATATCTGTTACAGCATATGGCTCTTAACAACAACTTCTCAACATCAATACAACTCTGGTCCAACAAAAACTCTGCCTCCTTGCCTGTTGATGGATCTATGACAAAGCTGCTGTGTGTGCACTTTATATGGAGATCTGATCCAGGTTCAATTTTTATAAAAGGGCATGCCCCTGAGTCTGATGCAGCATTTTTATCAAAATCTAACCAATATATAATTTTTAACCCTGGAGTTCGCAGGCTAGATGAATCAGATTCTACATCAGGATTCTGCATAGAAATGGTGTTTGCTCCATGGCCCACACCACCCTCAGATATGAGGTCAAACCGAATTGCATCTTTCCATCTTCCTTGTCGAAGAGCTTGCACTTGCCTTATGACAGTATCCATAACAAGTGCAACACATAGCTCATGAAGAACCGTGTACAATATAAGAAAAGGATTTTCCGCTAAAGCCATTCTTCGCTCTAAATCATCTCCAAGGGTATGACGCTGCAATTCTTCCAATTTCACAGGTCTTCCTTTTTCACCAACAAGCAGCTCCAAATGCAATATCCTCCACATCGATAGGTGTCCTCTATAGCCAAGAGTTACTAAAACCTTAAACTCTCCATCCACCCTAAGCAATGCTGTACCATCAGAAACATTAACCTCAGAAATTTCTTTTGGAAGTGAAACTTCAAGCAATTTTGAGCGTACAAGCATGTCCAGCTTCTTCAAAACAGGCTTTTGCTGATTTTCAGTTAAAGTATTCTGAGTGCCCACATCTTCTATACATTTTGGTAATCGCTCATAATTTCCCGTTAGAAGAACTTCAATTGCTGATGGAACGTCATAAACAGGAGCACGGGCTTGCTGAAGCCCCTCATGCATGAAGAACAATGAATCTGCTGCTTGAGTAAAACACGTATCATGATTTGATACAGTAGATGTTAGTTGCTGACAATACTGTATCAAAGGAACCTGCAAGTCAGACAAATACCGATTATACACAAGCAGCATGCCACATGGTGATCAGATGAAACTCCCAAACTTGCTTGTCCAGTATTCACAGGATCATAAGTAATTGTTTAAGAAACCTCCCCCTCTATACTGAAATGTAACGTGGGAAAGAGAGTTAACTCGGCACTGGTATGTGTCTGTACGTTTCCCCATTGAATACAGTAAGTAAACAAGGAATCATTCCAGATTCTAATTATGTTTCGATTTCAACAATCCATCCTAGAGTTACCCAGCCCAAGATTCAACCCCAATCATTACAAGCATTTAAAAATCATCCTATAAACCAAAGTAGTACTGATCAAGCACTAAAACAAAATTGTAGTGACAAAAGCTCCCATAACTCGTTTAAATGACTCGCTTTCACCCGAAACTCAATGAACTAGCAAAAACAAGTATAAACTAAAGTGAATTTAGTTTAATAAAATAAATCAGCAGTCACGTCTCTAGAACAACCAAAACACAGACTCGGTTCAATCAAAGTACACGATTTCTATCTATCTCGAATTCTGTCGATTTACCATTTCCAAGGCACGACAAGGAAAACACGGAATCTGCAAGTTCGCACTAACACGACATGAGGAGCGATTGGAATTCAACCAAGACAAACCTCACGCAACTTATTACCAAGAAGAAAAAAAATCCAAGACATTCAATTTTCTTCCCCCTTTCCCTTCAAGCTATCCCAAAGACAAAGAAATAAAATTACGATGCAGGAAGCAGTAAGAGGGGAGAAGATGGATAGCCATTCACGAGGGAGTGGACAGAAGATAATAGAGAATTGAAAGGACTAAAGTGATATGAGAGACCTGTTGGCACCATTTGGAGATGACATTAAGGCGGATCATGCGCTGCTGAGTCTTGTTGAGAAACTTGAGAATGTTAATCTTCCTTTCAGAATCAGATAGTTCAGTGGACCCGCATTTGTCAATTAGTTCTTGGAGGGAAGCGTAAGAATCGTGAGCAGCTCGACTCACAAGGGTGGATAACTCCACCGTCTGTTGCCCTAAATCGGCAGCCATTGAGATTCGAAGGTGGTGAGGGATTGTTAGGGATCTATAGTGTTAAAACCATGGAAAATAGGGTTTCGGCACAAGGAAGCTTAGAGAAATTACAATTGCACGAGACGGAGGGGGGAAATAGAGGAGGAGAGAGCTGGAGAGAACAAAGGCAGAGTAATTCGCGCTCATACAGCTTCGTCCCTCTCTCTCTCTCTCTCTCTCTCTCGTTACTTCGTAAACTTCATGCGGTCGCTCCCTGGATTCCAGAGACGCCAATGGCCAGAGGCGGAAATAAGGAGGGACAACTGCGGCTTTGGACTTTGGAGGCGGGTATTATAGCCCACGTGATTAAAGCCTCGCCTTCTCACGCCTTCTTTTGCTTTTTAACTCTGTTTTGTCTGATTAGTCACCCCGCGGCGCTAAGCATTCAAGCAGACGGAAATAAAACATTCATTTCGCCACTGAACATCGGAATAATAGTGCGTTCGTTTGATCAGCCTTCAGCTAATCAGCTAATCAAATTAAAAGTACCGTCGGTTTGGTTTCGCTTCAAACATTGATTTTGTTTGTTTATTTCACTTTGTTTCGCTCAGCTTCTAAATTATGGGATGAAATATGGGCTTAGAGATTATAATTATTTTATTATAGTAACTCTTTTATTTTACAATTTTTATATTAAATATTAAATTAAATATAAATATATTATAATAATAATATAATATCAATAAATAATTAATAATGATAACAAGGCAATCGCCCAAACTTAAAACTCTTGTTTTGGCTAAACTTGGTACGGTAACACAAATAGTATCTCAGTATATGAAATTTTATTTTAATTAATTAATAAGTTTTCTAAAAACTAGATTTATACCATCATGCGATGCACAGAAATGTTTTATTTTTAACAAATAAAAATAAATATAAATATTAAAAAATTATTTGAGTATCCTTAAAATAAAATATATTGATTTTCCTTCTATTTTATCTTAATTACAATGATTTTTTATTTTAAAAATATATAATAATTTATCTTAAAATCAGTTAAGAGTTACAAAATATAAACATGCTTCTACTTTTAAATTTTTATTTTCATTAATATAATTATTAGTTGACAATTAACTCATAAATGTTAGACTAAAATATCATTCTTGATATATTCTTTTAAATTTTTATTCATATTGTAAATTTATTAGTTTTACAATCCGATTTATTTAGTACTTTTAAAAAAATTGAATACATACTCCCACATTTCAAAAATTTAAGACATTTTTAACTTAATTTTACCTCAACAAAATAGTTATTTGTGTTTAAACTAATACCACCTTCTTATATTTACTTTTATTTAATAAAATATTTTACTTTAAAATAAATATAAAATGATTTATGCATTAGGACACTTTAAAAAAACAATAATTACATATTAAAATATTAAAAATATCTTATTTTTTGAATATCCAACCCCTCAAAAAATATTTTATATTTTTTAATGAAGAAGGTAATTTTCTAGAATAATATTTCAAACACGTCTATGCAAAAAAAATTAATGTCTATGTTTATTTAAATTTTCATAAATTACTTTTAAAATATTGTCATACTTAATTGTTTAAAGTTTATTTTTGGCCAAAAATTGTTTGAAGTTTTTTAAATTAGGAAGTAAGGATGATAGACAAATGGATTATAAAAATAATTTAATTATTTAAATTTTTTCAACATAAATAAAAAATAATAAATTAAATATTTTAAAATATTTAACATAATATTCCTAAAAGTGTTAAAAATAAAATAAAGTTAATTTTTAAAAATAAAAAATTATAATTCTAATAAAACAAGAGGAATGTCAATATATTTTACTCTATAATTTATTAATCTGTGCATATTAAAATATAAAGAGTATTTTATTTTAAAATTTGTTATGTCCATATATATTAAAAATAAAAATAATAACTTATTTTATTTTAGAATATTTTGTCATGTATTACTTATATACATATTAAAAAATATCAATGTTTTTTTAATTTATCACCTCCTCCAGTTTGGAATTTAATCCAACTTATTCTTTTTTAAAATTTTGTTGCTCCACATGTGACCTTAAGAAAAATAAAACATGTATTATTGCAATTTATGTCATAATATTATCTATAAATCATAATTATAATGGTTGTAAATCAAGCAAATAGTATAATCCATGTTATAATACCATTTATCAATCATGTGTACAAGTATTACATGTGATATAATGATTATTAATAAAAAATTAGGTGTGCAGTGGAAGATAAATTCATTAACACTATGTAATTAACTCGCTGCTCATAATTTTTTTCCCCAACTTAAAGCACATAATTACATTAATATTTTACATGAGTTTTCAATCCATAATCTACCTTTACATATAAATAATAGAATAATAAATTTTATACCTCATGCATTTGAAAAATACAAACAAAAACTTATTTTATGTATTTTCACCAAACTATTTTATGATTTGTTATCATGCGTTGATAATAAATATACAGTAAATTATTTTTATCCAAACATTGTTATCCCCATATAAATTTTATTGTATATCTAACTTCTATTATTTTTACTAAGAATCTTATATTTACCTTTAATTTTTACAATGGGTCATATATGATCTTTTAAAATATAAAAATTTTATCATTTTTTACACCTTGTATAAAATTTTAACATTTAAAACAAAATTTTTATATGGAAAATGTTTTTCCTCCTATGACCATTTTTTTACCATTAGTGATTTATTTGCATATCTAACACCTATTATTTTTATTAAAAATTTTATATTTACTATCAATTTTTACTATGGATTCTACATGATCTTTCAAAATATTAAAATGTTAATATTTTTTATACATTTTTTAAATTTTTTACACTTACAAATGTAGATCCCACACTCACATTTTTTAATGAGGGATCTCATATCTACTTTTTTTTTTTACCTCAAGTCTCACAACTATATGTATCTTTTATTTTTTTAACAAAATTTCTGTTAACTAATTTTTTTAAATTAATTACTAATTTAATTTTATTAATTTAATTATAGGTCTCATACCCACTTTTTTTATCATTAGTAATTTCTTTATATATTTAACATCTATTATTTTCACTAAGAATAATTTTTACTATAAAACCCTACATAATCTTTTAAAATATAAAAATTTTATTATTTTTTACATCTTGTCTGAATTTTTAAAATTTATAAATATAGGTTCCAAAGTCAAGCTTTTTAACGGTAAGTCTCACATTCAATTTTTTTTACCATGGGTTCCATGACTACATTTTTTTATTTTTAACAAAATCATTCAGTAACTAAATTAAAAAAAAAGGAAAGAAAGAAAGAAAAGCACCATTCAAAGTACCATAGATCTTCGATGCTTTGGCATTGTGAATTACAATACACATATTTACATATAAATATATATACATATACATATATATTCATTTTGATTGACGTGCAATTTGATTTGAAGATGAATCATAATTGTTCAAAAAAAGCATGATTTTTAAACAGCGTCAGCATATCAGCATAAAAAAAAATATCTAATTCAACATTATTATAGAATTACTGTTTGCCATTGAGTATTATATTTTTAAGTAAAAGGGAATATGGTATTATATATTTAAATAAAAGGATTAAATTATATTCTTGCCCCTCATATCCTTTTTTATGGTGCCACGTCTCTTTCAACATTTGAAACAGCACAATTTTGCTTCTGCCATTAAAAAATGTTAAGTTTAATTATTAGTTGACTCAAAAAATTACACTAAAAAGTATATAAAAAATTAATATCAATTAAGACCTTTAACTTTCAGCAGATTAATGTTATTTCTCACCAATATATAAACTGGAATATCATTTTGACTGGCCATCGGATGGTTATCGGATCATCATTGTTAATAAAAATTATTAAATATTAAAATAGTTATATTTTAATAAAAATTATTAAGACAAATTTATTTTGTGATCGATCTAATAATCATTGTCAAAATAATTGGTCAAGATGATATTTCAGCCTTTTCCATGGAAAAAATTAATAATATGTCTATAGATATTTATTTGTAATTTATGACACATAACCAATATTAATTTTCTTGCAGAATATTTATTTATAATTTCATTTTTTCTAATTTTAAGTCACTTTCTATAATTTCTAAGGTAAGTTAACATTTATTAGGTAGAACTACTAATTTTTAATGGATTAAGGACCATTTTTTCTCTTAAACATTTTTTCAAAGAGCACTCATTATTCTATAAAATGAGATGGTGTAAATTAATTCATGAGGCAATAAAGATGAAGCATTTGGCACCTTTTGTCTATTTTGAACAAATGGCCATTTATTGATGAGGCAAGGAACTTGGTTGACCGGAGCTCTAACTAGGCGGCATGACATGCGGTGTGTAAAACGTCCAATTATCTAATCATAACTGAGATCAAGGTAATCATTAGGCCAAACCATTTAGGTTATCAAACTTGTAAATTTATAAAGATGAGATTTCAAATTTTTATAATTAAAATTATTCAATAATTATTTAACAAACTTTTAATCAAAGTAAATTATTATTTTAAAAGTATGAGATACTTTGAGGGGATGAAAAAATTTAAAATCAATTGAAAAATATTAAGGCATAAAAAACAAAGGGACACACTGTGGTTACATGCATTGTGACTATCCTTCTCTGTACTACATATTGCGATGTATGTAACATTTCAAAAATTAACTTAAGATTAATTAAGTTAATTTAGAACAAATGAATAATTTTAGAAAAATATTTAGATATAAATAATTTTAGTTAGAAATTATTATTAGATTTAATTTAGATTAAATTAAATCCTGTAACCCTTGCCCCGAGTGTTATCCAAAAATCACACAATTCAAATAAACTAAGTGTGGTTAAGGAGTTAATCCTAAAACCAACTTAGTAAACAAACCATTTAAATCACTAAGCAAATATACGATTGCAAAGTAAGCGTTTAAAACCTTAAAAAAATTATAGGTTCTAACTATAGCGCACGGAAGCAAGTTAGACGAAAGAGAAATAAAAAGATACTGTCATGACAGCATTTAAATTGCTGTCATGACAGCCCTTCCGAGTCAACTTCTGGGAGGCGTCGTTCCGCCATCCGACCTCCGATCGAAGTGATTTTAAAGCTCACACGTCACATTCAAAGGGTACTATAAATATACCAAATTTCAAAAAGATCCAACGGTCGGATTTAAAATTAGACATGTTAAAAATTTGATTATTTTTGCTGTCATGACAGCACTTCCGGACCAACTTTCGGAGTGCACCATTT